TTGCGATTTAATATGCGATTTAAAAAAAAGTTATTTACCTTCTGTATTAGTCGACAAAGACAAGCAATAAATCATTGTACAGTAGGGATGGGAATCTTTAGATAGCTCATGATCTGATCTACTTTTTTTCTTATTAATTTATCTTAATAACTCTTAAAATATGTATTTAATTACATGTGTAAAAACAAATAAAAAATAAATATAAAAAACATTTAATTAAACCAATTACATGTTAAGAATTTTAAATAGGCTATATAAAATAATATAGCTTCAAAATATAAAAGCTAGTAAATAAAGAGAAAAAAAAACATTACAAGCAATAAACAAAGAGTGGTCTCAGTATTTAAAAGTAGGCTGTCTGAATGTTTTTCATTCAAGAGCTGGAGTGATTTCCCCTCAGTTTAAATACGATATGCTGCATTCACACTAATGCATATATCTCTTTTGAAATTGTAAATGTGGTTTGTCCTGTTGGTTTAAGATATAACTGACCGTGTTTACATTAATTTCGCGTCATAAAAGCATTTTGACATGCAAGTACATTTACCAATGAGTCGCTCACAGCCGCATGCACGAGCGCTCTTCACAAAGCACGCGTTAGTATTTTAAAATGAAAGCAGCCTTCTCAGTGTTTTTCATGGTGTTAATATAAGCCAACTGCATTCCAAAATACATAAATAATGCCTCTGTGAAGCATTTGTAAAGAAAATTCCCGCGGGAGAGAACGCGCACTGCAAGTGTAACGTTATAACATCAAGCAAAGCGGCAAACCCTGTTCAATGAAGCCCGCGAATGTCCTTGTAATTCGGTTAAATCCCGAACTTTATGAAATAACGTTACTATGTTTTGGAAGGTTCGAGCGGTGTCGTGTGTGTGAGTGAGGAAGAGAGAGAGAGCGAGAGAGAGAGAGCGAGAAAATAGAAGCAAGCAGATTCAGAACACGGTTCGTTTCTAAAGCACGCGCAGCGTCATCACGCATCTGTGTTTAAAAACTAAGCTCAGACTCGATTCTGAAATTCTCTGATCCAGGATTGTGGAGGAGAGAATAAATAACACAATATCACTTAAAAATAGACTAAACTGGTCTTTTCTGAACGCCAGACCGCGTAGCGTGGCAAGTTGATGCTTTATCTTGCAGACTGCTTTTCTCTCGCGTGTCACGTGACCAATGTAATCGCAGCGCTTGCGATTACAAAATCGCGTTTCATCATATCGCGATTTTATCGCAAATGCAATTAATCGTTCAGCCCTAGTATCGAGCCATCCTTAATAGTTGCTAGTTGGCCCCGGATCTCTGGTCTCTAGATTTGGCTCAGGCCCCTCCTTCAGTGTGTTTTGCGTCGTGTAGAGGCCATGTGCTCTTCATTACCAGTGGCTTGGTGAGCTGCATTGCTCCTTAGAGACGTTCTCATCCTCTCCGAGGGATGTATTGCATAGTATGCGTCACTTGATGATATCAGCACCAATAGGAAGGAAAATCATATTTTCCCACGCACTACAAATTGCTAAATTATGCATGCCTGTGTTTTAACCCCAGGAGAGTAAATGCCTCGCTTGAAAAGAGAATGAAAGAAATGTGCAGTAGCGGTTGTACAGTTTCTCCGTCTGGACTGGATGCTGGATGATCTCTCAGCTCTTCGGCACAGCTCGTGTCCTCGGCCTTCCACTTCCCTGCAGCGCTCACACACACTGTGTGGATGACTGGTCGTGTTCTCGCCATACACTGATGGCATCAGCATTTCCCTCCGCAAGTGGACGTCACCCGCCGCGTGTTTATTATGACTGATAAGAGGAGGCCTCTGGACAGCAGCGTGTTCTTATTCGCTATCACTCTCCGCACAAACTTTCTACAACAGCCACACAGAGTGAAAGTTGAACGGCTGTGGCTGTTATGTCTTTACGAAGCCTTACCAAGGCTTTCACTAGTCTTACACATTTCCACTCTTAACATTGCTTCCAGAAAGTGCTGTTTGACTATTTTCGGGTGAACCATAAGGTGATTTCTTGCAGAAAGTTCCTGGTGTTCTGTTCCTTTATTTCTTTGCCAACAGTAAGGCGATATTGAGCTCGGAAATGCCGTTATGTTATGATGTTATGATGTCAATCAGTAAATCATGAAATTTCCCCAAACTTCCTATTATATAACTGGCACGCATTGTGTTTGCTGGGAAGGATTTGCATGTAGACTGTATGATCTTTATTCTGTTCATCAGGAGCAGTTTCCATATGTAAAGTAAGGTACAAAGAAACAAACAGGAAACATCACAGAGAGGTCGTGACTCCGCAGACTCACAAATATTTGTTATGGTTTATGACGTTTTCTTAGAATATAAGAGAGTTTGACCTTTTTGTGACAAGGCAGGGTTAGTTCAGGCACTAAAATAGCATGCAAGTAAGTCGTAGTTTTTCAAAGCCAACTTGAATACCAAGAGTGCACATAAGTTTTAAACTATATTTTTAGAAGATGTTTAATTAGCTTTACTTTACTTCTTTAAACATGATATAAAGAAATCTATATTTGAGCAAAATATAGATAGTATTTGGCTACAAAACGCATTTAAGCCTTTCCCTGAAGCATGTGAAATATAGTGAAGCAGGTGGTGTGTGTATGGAGTTTGACTGGTCGAGTACCACAGTGACTTTCATTGAAAGAGTGATTGTTTGGATGCCGTCGGTCCAAACACTTCTGCGCACGTGATGAAGAATTGCGCTGTGCCCTTCGGAGGAGGAGGAGGAGGAGGAGGAGAAAGGTCACATTCTCCACACTCCTCCACAAGGATCTCATTGATACAGCCACATTCCTGTGTCTGTGATGTAATCCCGCTGCTCTTCATCATCAGACTCATCACATGGCCACGAAACGGCACACGTAACAACTGGTTGGAAACGGAAATCTTCCTCTCTTTTTCACCTCTCCCTTTGACGTGCTACAATGCAGCCAGAGGCTGAGAAGGCTTGCGTCTCTTTTGTGTGCTGAAATCCATGTCTAAAAGCAGACACTCTAGACACCCTGTCACAATACCGCAGGACTCCATGTAATCACGACACTGTGTGTGTGGATACACAATGGTGCACCTGGACCTGCTCCAAGAGGAGGCTCGAGGCCTGTGTTTTTACTTTCCCTAAATGGTTCACACAATATGATCACCAATCTCTTCATTTATTATCCAGTAGTATTGTCCTGTCATTTTCATCAAACATTACCCATGTATGCCTGACCTTGACTAGTGTATTACTGTATCAGGTGTGTTTAATATCTAATGACCGAACTAACTGCTTCTATTGTCTGGCGCAGTGTAGCCTAGCTTAGCGGTCAAAGATCTGGGCTTTTTATCAAAGGATTGCTGGGGATGAGCTGATTCTATTGATTAGCTGCTGTTTTATGATGGATACAGGTTATTTTTATATTCAGCTGTACAGTAACTGATATATTGAGAACAGATAGTAATTGTTTAGGCTACTTTCTGTTTTCTGTGTTTGAATCAATATTGGGCTACGAAAATCAAAACATATGTATTGATTTACTTTTTTTAATGGATGTTATTCCTAGAAAGAAATATTGTTCTTTGTAATCTTGCCTTTAAGTGTAGTAACTATTTTCTGTGAATCAGCTTTCCTGTGACGCTGATGTGATGTGGCCTATTGCATAATGTTAACCACTAACCAGTAGCCAAAGACTTTTAGGCATTGCTTAGGTGACTTTTTTTATTCAGTCTGGCTAGCACGTATGCTCTTTGTTCAATTTGTTCAAGTTCAATACTGCATTTTTCTTGTCTGATATCTTGTGTCAGATTCATGAAGTTCAATACATTGTTGACCAACAATTCACCTTGACTTTAAAGTCAAGGGGAACTGATGTCCTGTGAAAGGTGTAGAGCTGAGTTTCAGTGGCCCTGGCTTTATGACGACAAATGTTTTTGATAGTTTTCAGCTGATTTCTGTCAGCCGACTTCAATCACTCATACTAGCATTAGCATTTGCTGTGTCGCCTTATTTAAATGCAGATTGAAGGGCTCTCGATGATGGCCCACACACAAACAACACCAGAGTATACTTGTGGGTACAACAGGCAATTGTTGTTGCCACTGGGTTTGGATAAATAGAGCGGCACCTCATGAAAATCACTCAATTCAGGAGCAAACCTTGGGCTGCCCGTTTGATGCCATATCGAGGACATTTCCATTTCAAGCAGAATGAATGGACATTGTATAATGATGCTGTTTTTCAGGCCAACAGATATAAAGGTTTTAATGAATGTTAATGTGCTCCTCCCAGCGCTATTGTAGATTGAGTAATTGTCGGCTTTATTCGCAGTATTTTTATGCCTGAAAGTGTGTTAATATCGCCAACAAAATTACTGTTGGAAACATTCATTTGTTCAATTACAAAATCAAAAGCAGCAAACTGCCAAAAATGGGTCAAAAAATGTATCATGATGATAATTTAGAGATTTTAGTGTAATTTCTAGTAATACACTAGCAATGTTTTAGAAACAAAGAAAATGTAAAATTCAGCTGTGATCAAAACGTGTTGCTCCCGTTGTCCCGAATGTTGATGCAACAACACACAAGCAGACATGTTTCACACACTGAAAGGTTTGTTGATATATCAAACACAAAATCATGTAGATATTTGTTTTGAGCTTTAAATGTAACATTACAGTCAATGAAATTTTGTAGAAAAATGAATTTTAATTAATTTAAAATTTTTATTTAATTTAATTGAAAGGAAATTTTGCCAAACGAAAACATGTAAAACCGCCTAAAAAGAAACGTGTGTTGTAAAAAAAAAAATTATTAAAAAAATTCATTTGCAGTGACCTAAACAATATCTATTTGAAATCAATTATGAATCGTAAAAAGCTGATTCCTTGCTCAGTGTGTAACTAACTAAGCTGTAAACCAAGCTGTTTTGGCAGCACTATCGCGTATCCCAGTGTTCATTTCCTTGAATAATTAACGTTGATGAGATGCTGATCTTGTTCTCCTCTTCTTGTGTAGTGCCTGAGCTGTCGTGAGGATGAGCAGCAAGCGGAGTCTGTTTGTGCGGCTGGTGCCGTGCCGCTGCCTGCGGGGCGAGGAGGAGACCGTCACCTCGCTGGACTACTCTCACTGCAGCCTGGAGCAGGTGCCCAAAGAGATCTTCAGCTTCGAGAAGACCCTGGAGGAGCTCTACCTTGACGCCAACCAGATTGACGAGCTGCCCAAAGTACGAGTGCGCTCGCACCATTGACACGCTTGCACTGCATGTCTCCAAAAAGTGTTTAGTGCTTAGGCGGTGAAACTTGACGATCTTTTTTTTGTTAGTTGGCAGCAGTATTGGGGAAAGTTGATTTTAAAAGTAATGCATTATTATATTGTGTTACTCCCGAAAAAAAGTTATTTTACTTAGTTAGCAATAAAAACAAAAACTGAATCTCATGTCAAAAGTCATTTTTGCTTATCCTAATGGTTGAATTGGATCATAAAAAAGTCATTAAAAAAACGGTACGATTCGTACCGTAAAAAAAAAAAAATGTACGGTACGTTTTTTTCATACGGAAAAAAAAAATTACGGTACGAAAAATCGTACCGTAAAAAAAAATCTGTGATTAAAATTTTTCAGCAACCATCAATTCGTCCAAATGTTATGAAATTGGCATGTTACAAACTTGCAATTCTGAGAAAAATTTCAAAAATGTAATATATATATATTGTGAGATATAAACTCAGAATCTGTTTTTGAGTAAATGAATACCGTAAAACTTCAAATAATAGCCAAGTCCCAAATAGGCACCTGTCTCTTTCACACATCTGGTGTGGCTGCAGGTTTGGACAAATAAAGGTCCGTGTCAAATAGGGGCCGGGTCTGTTTTTTTTTTTTTTTTTTTTTTTTATAGTTTCAGGTTGTATTTAATTTAATAAAACCCGTCAGATCGTCCCGCGACCACCAAAGCAAATTTTTGTCCCGCCAAACCTTTTTTGATCAGTGAGTGATGAATGAAGAATGACAGAGCGCATAACGAGCAGAGAGAGAGAGAGCGCCCTGGCCCGGCCACACGCGCACACTCTCATATTAATCAAAATCAGTTGACACGATAGTAAAAGGTCAGAAGACCGTAGTTTCAAAGGTCAGAAGACCGTAGTTTCATGGGGCATTTGGAGATCTTTAGAGATTTAGAGAACAACATCTCAAATACAAGCCGGTCTAGTTCGACGATTTGGGAAAATAAAATCCGGGATATAATTTGAAGTTTTATGGTAAAAGCTCACATTTAGTTCAGCTACAATAAGCATCATGTTCACACACAGCGCACACACTCAACGCATCTGTGCTTACTCACGATTTCTCTTAACATGTGGACAGGAGAGCTCTTAGTCAATAAACAGGAAAACACAGTAACTTGCGTCACTTATTTGATAAAGAAAATCAGATATTTTGTTGTAAATTTAAAAGTGATCTTTTACTTTACAATTCACATGAAAAGTAATTGATTACCTAACTCGTGTTACTTTTATATGTGCAATTTTTTTTGCCTTTTGATTGTATTCTATACAAATATATTGACATTTTCACATTTTTGATCTGAAATTCTTTAAAATCTGTGATTTTAAACAAATTGTTACAAACTCGCAATTCTGAGAAAAATTTAGAAATGTAATATATATATTGTCAGATATAAACTCAGAACTGCGAGAAATGAACAATTGTGTTATAAACTCAGTATTCTCTGAAAGTCTGAATTGCGAGATAGTAACTGGCAGGATGTCTCAGAGCGATTAGATTTTCTCTTCTTATCATATAAACAGTTTCCACTGGGCTGGATTTTTTTTTTGTTTATCCACGTCTTTCTTGTCCTTCATCAGGAATAGCCTTGTGTTGCAGACGTGTTGTTTTCCTTAGACCGGATGGATTAGATTACATGAAGTCCCGTTGAGAACTGATCAAGTTTTAAACCTGACTTTGCTGTGACTGTTTCACCTATGCAGAACTAATTCAGCCAAAAAATCAAATTTAAATGAATCCACCTCCTCTGCAAAAAGCTGGAATATAATATGAAGTTTGCCATGAATGTTTCTCAAACTTCTGTCTCTCCATGTCTAATCCTTTACAGCAACTTTTCAACTGCAGTTTGCTCTACCGATTGAGTCTACCGGACAATGACCTAACGGTGTTGCCCCCGGCCATCGCAAACCTCACCAATCTCAGGGAGCTCGACGTCAGCAAGAACAGTAAGCAAAACGGCTGATTTACCCCCCCTTTCTCTCTCATTTTCAGGGTCCAGTTACGCTTCTGAGCAGAATCAGAGGCATATTGATATCTGTACAGACTCACTGAGCCCTCATCCATTGTAAATCAACTCATCTCTTCAAGCACCACGTTTCGCATTTCAGTTTACGCTGCAACACAGAATTCACCATTAATACCAGGCGGATCCTTGTAAATTAACATTTTGTTTTCATGTGTCGTTCATTGGTTTAGAATTGTGAGATATGGTTAACAGACAGATAATTCCAGACAAGAGCCAGTTGTGAATATATCTTATTCAGTGCTGTAAAAATGCTGAAAGCATTTCATGTTCATCAAACATGTGGTGTTTGTGTAAGCAATGTGTTTTATAGATTTTTTGTTTTGTTTTACCTATCACATAATTCACACCCACCCCCGTTAGTTACTGTTGCCATGTCCGACAAGCTATGCCACTCTCACGCCACACCATGTTCTCACGCAGTGAAAAATACATCGCAGAGCAGAGAGGACACTAACAGACAGGACAGACCAGGTTACTTTTGATATGAAACAAAGTCTTAACTTTCTAATTTGGTTTTTTTTTTTAAGAAATTTAAACAAAAATACCATTTTGTGGCTCTTTAATGTGCCTGACAGATCACCGTAGCGCTTCGTTAAAGCTATCATCGTGAATCCAATCAGTCGTGAACCAATCATCTCTTCCTTCTAGTTAATTTATCAAATAAACATGAATGAACATCAGAGGACTGTTGTTTTAACCGTGGAAAGACGTCAGTACTCTCCGTTTTTCAAGTTCAAATCCTCCGATGTTAATATACTAACTGTCCTAACTGTTTTGTCGGACAAAAATTGTGGATTCACAATTTTTCGCCTGTCAATCAATCTCCCTTCATCCTTTTTAAACGCCCCTTGTAAGGTATCTGCCTATGTGGACCACATCTCTGTAGGAATTGGAACAGAGCCGCTGTTTACACTATTACACTGTTTATTCTTGCTCTGCTTTGGAAAGTTAAATACCCGCTAGCTTTGATATCCTGTAAACTGATGGCAATCTGTAGAAACAATTTATTCCATTCTTAAACATAAGCAAAGACCGCAAGACTAGAAACACATACTGAAATCACTGAGTCTCTGTTTACACATCACTTCATCTGTCAGCTGGTGCGCTGCAGAATCTGATAAAGGAACGACAGACGGTGACGATCTCAGACCTGCACAGGAAGTCTCAGTCAAATCATTTAAAAAAAAAAAATTTGTGGTCACATCCGAACCATTTTGAGTAGGTTATGGTGAATTTTTTTACTTTTACCACTGGTGCTTTATTAGCATGATTTTTTGCTGTGCTTTAGCTGTTAGATTGTTTACTGTATTTCCCCTTTAAAGTAGCAGCACTACAGCCACACACACACACATTCAGACTGAAGTCTTGAGCTATAGTCGCATCTTGCACTGAAACCAGCCTAGTTTTACAGGGTTTCCTTTAGACCAATTAGCTGACTATATTGAATATGTTTAGTTTTGCACATCCTTAATTTGCAAAGGATGCTACTAGTAGATTTGAGGCAATTTAATCAAATTTCTTACATTTACTGCATTTCCAGAAAATGTAAAGCAGGACGTGTTTATTATTAGCATTGCCGCTCTGTGTAATGACGCATCAGAAGTGCTGTACAGTAAACCAGAGCGAGCGCAGGGTCACCTGGTGCAGATCTGAGAGCTCACTGGTGTGTGTGTGTGTGTGTGTGTGTGTGTGTGTGTCTGGATAAATGCAGAGCCACCTGTGGTTTCTCTGCTCACAGGATATCTCAACATAACTCTAATGTCACACTCCATCTCCTGTGGTTGGTAGGACAGGAAGTGTGCAGTCTAGTTCTAGTGCTGCACAAGCTCGAGTTGTTTCTAAAAACAGCATTTTCTTCGGTAGCCAATTTAGAGAAAAGTCTAGTTGAGAAATGCTTACTTAACATATTATGTATTTTTAAGTGGGGCACAAATAGGGATGGGGTTTTGTTTGAATTGCAGCTGTTTATTTTGGCATTTTCAAATTCTGATTCCAAATAATTCTTCTAGTCCATAACCCTGAAACAATTATTGTATAAGGATGACTACCAGTAATCATTGTAAACTTATTTTACAATACTGGTCAACAAATAGCTTTTATATTATGCTCAACAAGGCTGCATTTATTTGATCAAATTTGATCAATAAAAGTAATATTGAGAAATATTACTACAATTTAAAATAACTGGTTTCAATGTGACTATATGTTTAAATGTAAATTATCCAGGCTGTGATCAAAGTTGAATTTTCAGCATCATTACTCCAGTCTTCAGTGTCACATGATCCTTCAGAAATTATTATAATATAATGATTTGATGCTGAATTTTTATTGGTGCTCAGTTATTAATAATGGTTCTAATAAAATCAATATTTAAAAAAAATGTGTTGCTTAATAATTTTGTGGACCCTGGTACATTTCTTTGAACAGAGTTCAAAATAACAACATTTATTTGAAATGTATTTAATGTCACTTTTGATCAATTTACTGCATCCTTGATGAATAAAAGTAAATATTTTTTCTTCTTTTTTTTTGATCATGGTTTCCGCAAAAATATGAAGCGGCTCAACTGTATAATCAGAAATATTTCTTGAGCATGTAATCATCTGAATGATTTCTGAAGGATCATGTGACACCAAAGACTGGAGTAATGATGCTGAAAACTCAGCTTTGAATAAATTACATTTTAACATATATTTTAGCCTATATTCACATAGAAAAAAAAAATGTCTGATCTAATAAATCCAGAAGAGACTTCTATAAAAATATTAATTCCAAACTTTTTACTGGTAGTGTAGGTCAAATTCCATCTGGACTCAAAGATATAATGGTTGAAATCAGTGAAATAGAATTAAAATATAATAAAATGTAATTATACAGTATATACAGTAGTATATATATGTGTGTGTATATATGTATGTGTGTGTGTATATATATATATATATATATATATATATATACACTGTATATATATATATTTATATACATATATACACTGTGTATATATATATATATATATAAGTTTCCGTTATTAATGTGCCATTTGAAAGTCCATTCTGAACTCTTTTTCCTTCATGTGTTTGTTCTTTCATGCAACCAGCAATAGCAGTGCATTGGATAATGTTTGTTCAGTCTTTTCTCTTGATGCGTTTAATCCTGATGGCTAATGCTCGATTGACTGCTGTGGTGCTGTAGATTCAGAAAGCACCATCAGACTATTTTAGGACAGTGTTCTGTCCACATCGACACGGAAATGCAGTCATTCAAGATGCTGTAACTGAACCGAATACAAATTGTTAATTTGAAGACATTTATACCCTAGGCACAAACAACATAAAACCAGCAATTATTAATCAAGTTCATTCTTTTGTTTGTTTTAAATTTCAGGCATCCAGGAATTCCCTGAAAATATCAAGAACTGTAAAGTCCTGACCATCATCGAAGCGAGTGTGAACCCTATATCAAAGTGGGTATATAGCTAGTAGAGATGGTGTGTGTGTGTGTGTGTGTGTGGTAATGTAATGAAAGCACTCTTGTGTCTCCACAGACTCCCAGAAGGCTTCACGCAGCTCCTCAGCCTGACCCAGCTCTACCTGAACGATGCCTTCCTAGAGTTTCTACCGGCCAGCTTCGGCAGGTTAGAAACACACAGATTCACACTCACGAACAATCCTACAGAGACCAAGACAATCAAGTCTCCTGATTTAGATCAAATAGCATCTAGATTCAAGATAGGCCAAAGTATGTATTACAATAAAACATAAAATGGACAAAACTGTTCTACAAAACACTGAAAAGGTTTACCAAGCACACTTGCATCATCCAGCTTGATTTATCCAAGTTGTAAATCTATTAAAATGACACATGCGAAATTTCCTCAGACAGCACATTCTAACATTTCCTGGAGCTTGAATCATAGATAGCGGCTCAGAAATGGTGCTTTCCTATGAAAATGCAGTGCAGTTCCAGTGAACAATCGTGCAGTGGTGTTTTTGACATATAATCATGCACACACAGCCTGAAATAGACCTCAAATGGCACATGCTACATGTATCTCAGTTCCTGTCGAAGGTCACTCGAGGGAAACAGTCGAGTTACTTACTAAAAGACCACAGTATATTTGGAGTATGTAGTTAGTCAGCATAGGGACATACAATTGGGAAGTGCTTACAAAAGTTTGTGACCGAGGGGATTTTTACACTTTTATTTTACATTTGAAATCTCAGGTTGTTTGATTTTACACTGAGCAGTCACAAAATACTGTAGTATTGTGTCTGCGATGTATAGTATAAACTTATATTTATGTATTTTTCTGTCTTTCTCTTGTTTCCTCAGACTAACCAAACTGCAGATTCTGGAACTGCGGGAGAACCAGTTAAAGATGTTGCCAAAGTAAGTGCGGCTCTGGGATTCATTTGAATTAGTAAAATATTAAAATGATGATGCGTGCTACTGCACTCCTGATGATCGCAGTATAAATGCAGGCAAACATCTCTCTTTCTTGGTCTCTGCGGCATCATATTGTTCAGTCTTACATAAGTGGCTCTGAAGTGACATGCTGTGACAGGTTTTATAATCATTTCTGGCTCAGGAACCGATATTGCATCATATGAGGGCTCGTTTGTTTTTGGATTTGTGTGTGAGAGCCACAGAGACGATCTCTGTGCCTCCGACTCCTCCGTCCTGAAACACACAGGCCTCGAGTGTGTTTGTTGGGTTACCGTTAGTCCGCAAAGTTTAAAACAACTCATTATCGCACTCAATGTTTTAAACAAAAGCCACTTGAGCAGAACGTCTCCATGTTGGAGCACATGAACAAACCACAAAACCTACAGCAACATAAATCAGCTGTTAAATAGTTTTTTTTTTTTTTTTTTAAATAAGGCTGTCAAGCAATTAACCTTTTTAATCTTATTAATTACACAATGTTGCGATTTATTTTTTATTTATTTATTTGTATTAATGTAATATGAAAAAAAATGAATTAATACTCTGAATAAGAAACTAAAACCGACAGTAAATGTCTGAATGAGTGAGTCATTCATTCAATCATTCATTCATTTATTTGAATTGTTCAAATCCCTGATCCAGTCAGAAAGTAAAGTAAATGGCTTTCTTTATTAATGGATCATTGAATCATTGGTTGACCCGATTGGTTCGCTCATTCAGAAACACTGCTATGTTTCTCTGAGATGCACAATCATTATCCTGTGGCTTTATATATAATATTTTCATAAACAAATTAAGATGTTATTTTATTTAAAATATAACACAATATTAACTTATTAGTTGAACTGTTGTAAAAAATCTATATCACATTTGTACATGTACATGTCCTATTCGGGACAAAAACCGCACTCGTGTGATATTGCTGAACTATATCATATGATATAAATATGAGACTAAAGCTCATACAGGGCATTTTTGCCTTTTATATCTTGAATTATATGGGCATATATTATATCTGTGTTTTATAGGCTCCATCATGTTTTGTTTTGTTTTTTGGTCCATGTTTTTCACCAGTCAACTTTCTGAAATGTAAGATGAACTATTTAGATCTGGGGTGGGGTGGGTGCATTAAAGGCATTCAGTTTTACACACTATTTTTTCCAAAACCAACTGACGTGTTAAACCGACAGCCCTAATTGTTTCTGATTTGAAAGCGAACTGTTGACCTTTGTTTGGCAAAAGAGAAATGTCATGCTTTACTAATCAAATATAAAATGAGAGAAAGAATGGTTATCACTCATGAGTCATGTTTCCTTGTGTTTACTAAGAAAAGCATCACAATTATGAATGATCCCTTAACTGAAGCTGCTCATTGTGGAAAAGGTGTGCTAATACTTTTCTAAGTGATCAAATCTATGATTTTCATTCTCTCGCAGTCACACTAGCAAAATTTTGGTGAAATTTTGCCGACAAAAAAGGTCTATTGTCAATAGTGTAGTGATGTATGAAGCACAAGTCACAAAGAAGTCACTTTCAAACCAAACAAGTTACAAATCACTAGAGTTAAAATGCATGGACTGTTTTGGATCAGGAAGTGTACCAGGAAGACACTAGTAATCAAATAATCAAAGACAGACGTAAAGCTGTCCTGCACATGCATCTCTTACTCATTTGAAAGACAAAATGTTTTGTTTTAATATTTTTATATTTTATATTTGTATGTATATGCAGCAACATGTAGTCCAAAACAAGTTTCCTTTCGAGGACAATAAATTATACTACTACTTGCCATTATTACACTTTGACCTGATATCTTTATGGCTGTGTTGTTTAAGGCAAGCAGTGTGTGTGTTCTAATGAGCTGTGGATTGCTCAGCATTCTGGGGGGTCAGTGAGTTTTTTTGGCTGATTGACTGGTTGCACGCCTCCAAACCCCGGATGAATGAATTCCTCTTACAGTCGGCCAACTACCAGTGTGTCTTTCAACACAGAATTTCCTACAAGTCTGCCTTCAGTTTATAACCATTTATTATACAATTCCTTGTGCCATAAATCATTTTGAGTTTTATGTTGTTTAACTTTTTCCACGGTTACAATATGCCTGTGGGCTGTTGATCTGTTGTCCACGTCAGCAGAGGTTTACACCCTGCCCTAAAGCACACCTACCCTAGTATTTGATGTTATTTTAGGGTTGGATGCAGATATTCATATCGCATGGGAAGTTTAGAACAGGAGAACGAACCTGGAGAAATGTGTTGTAAAGATTGGCATTCGAAGTCTAATGGCAGATTTTCATCATTCCCTGATACCCAAATGATATGTAAAGCATTCAAGGTGATAACAAAATATCTTAAAGAACATAGAGATAATAGTTTTGATTTTGTAAAGAGAAATAAAGTTAACAAGTGTGCTTCCAATAAGAAAGTAATATACTGTATTTCATTTTTACCAGAGCATTCACTTCCTCATCACTGTCATGTGACTGAAAGCCTTTTTTCCTGAAGTGAAATGATATATTGACCTTATCATGCTAAATGTTAAAGAAATTCGTTCGGCTGATGTCATTTCCAAATCCTGTTCCCATTTCCGTTCTCTGTCTCTACTATCTCTATCAATATAAGTGGCAAAAAAGACACTTTTTATTGACTTTTTTTGGGGACTTATGATTACCTAGATTTGTGGAAAATCTGTAAATGAAAAAAAAGATTTTTATTTAGATAAATAATGCATGTAGTTTGTTACAGTAGAGGGAAAATACATACATGCCTTGAAATATATTGTCATTTATGACTGTGGAACATCCTTAAAGGCTTAGTTTATCCAAAAATGATGTCATTAATAATGACTCACCCTCATGTCGTCCCAAGTCCATAAGACCTCTGTTCATTTTCGAAACACAGTTTAAGATATTTTAGATTTTGGTCAGAGCTTTCTGTCCCTCCATTGAAAATATATGTACGGTATATACTGTCCTTGCCCAGAAAGGAAATAAAGACATCATCAAAGTAGTCCATGTGACATCAGTGGGTTAGTTAACAAAGTCGTAGTTTGTGTTATTTGTAGACCAAAATTTATTTTCGATGCTTCAAAACATTCTAACTAACCCACTGATGTCACACATTCATTTTCAATGGAGGGACAGAAGGCTCTCGGACTATATCTAAAATATCTTAACTTGTGTTTTGAAGATGAACGGAGGTCTTACGGGCTTGGGACGACATGAGGATGAGTCATTAATGACAACATTTTCGTTTTTGGGTGAACTAAGCCTTTAAATTCTCTAGGTAGGATCATGGAGAATATGTTTGAGTGTTATTTTGATTCAGTTTATATTGCTTCTGATTTTATGTGAAACTGGGGATTGAAGTCTCTGTTCTGAAACTGCTAATGAAAAATTGATTAGCACTAACTACCTGTTCACTAAATGTCTTTGTCATTTATGTTCTGCGGGGAGTCTTTAAAAAGAAGAGTTGTGGTTGTTACCAGCCTATCTGAAGTGTTTCTTCATGCTCTCCATCTACAGTTCAGCCAGTCCTGCAAAACTGATAATCGCTCAGATATGTTTATGGACCAAGTGTGCTTAATCCATGGTTAATAATGTAAGTAATACTGTGTGTGTGTGTCTGCAGGAGCATGCATAAGCTCACACAGCTGGAGCGCTTGGATCTGGGGAGTAACGAGTTCACTGAAGTGGTGAGTAGCACCTGCCTGTGTGTCAGGTTCCCTTCCAGCTCTCAGTGCAGCCAGGTGGCAGATGCAGATGCGCTCATTGAGTGCTTCTCTCTTAGATTGCACCTAATATGCATTTTTCTCCTTTAATGGCATTGGAATTAGTGGCAGATTTCCTCTTGCTGAGAATGAGATATTGAGTTTTTTGTTCTTTCTGTCTAGCCTGAAGTATTGGAGCAGCTTACAGGAATCAGAGAGCTGTGGGTGGATGGAAATAAGCTGACGTTTTTACCAGGGGTGAGTCTTGCATTCATTTGGTGTTTTCTTGCCTTTTTCTTTGTCTTTTTACCATGTTCACCTTGACATATAAAACAAAATGTTTGTTTTTAGTTAAATATAAACTGATTTGGCCTCATTCATGAAACATTCATGAGTTGAATGTGCATAATGCTAAAAGGGTTACATTTTTGTGTAAATCATGTGTAAAATGTATTCTAGCGTAAATTGTTGATCATGTTTTGTGTGGAAAATCATTTGTTAAACCAGTGGTTCTCAAACTTTCCCCCCTTTAAACCTGTAAAAAATCTGGCACCCCGCCTCAGATTACCAAATGTTTTTCCTAAAAATTATAAAAACTGTAAGATTTTTTAATTGAAAACTATGCAGTGAAAAACACCTATAATAGCTTTAATTTGTAATGTCATTAAGCTACGTTTACATGGACACAATCGGAATGAAATCAATACAATTGATGAATGCAATCAAGGTGTTTACATGAATGATAAATTAAGTGATCAGGTTAATGTGCGCGTTTATATGTCACAAGATTCAAATCGGAATTGATTTTTTGACATGCGCACAATGCACGAATATGCCACTGTTTGCACATAACCACCACCCCTTTCAATCCGATCGAAACTTCAGTCGGACCAAGCTCAATCGGATCGATTTTGGTGTTTACCTGAAGGTTTTGTAGTACGATTGAGCCGTCAATCCGATTATAAGGGTCCATGTAAACGCAGCTAATGATTCATTGAAAAATATAACTGTTAGAGAGAATAATAGATCAGAACATAACTTTCAATTTTCTGTGTAAACCTTTCGTTTACACAGAAAAAAAAAACGTTTCGTTCATGTTTTATGTAAAGCGCTAAATTGCTCTTTTCGGCACTATTCATGAAACAAAAGCAAATCATTCCTATGTAAATCATTCGTTTAATCATTCCTATGTAAATAGTTGAATTCATATTTAACGTGAAATGTGAATGTTCATGTCTCCTGCATAACTGGTGTTTGTCGCAGGTGCATTGGGTAGAGTTGAGACAAGCTGGTGAAAATCTCCTTCAAACATTCCTTCAGGAAAACTATCTTCACTCTTCAGACTGCCAGATCCTTTTAAATGGGTCGTGGTTTAGGCATTAGCTTGCCGCTGAGACCAAACTGAGGGCCTCGCTGGCAGGATTCGCATTAGTCTGATGAGTTTTGCAGGAGTTTTCTGGACATCCTTTTGAACAAGTCTGACCTAAAATTGGTCCGGATATGAGGGCGGCACCCTGACCTCTCTCCCTCTCTGACCCGAGAGACCAGCTTACTGACCTTGTGCAAGGCTGAACCACCATATGTTTCTCTTTTTGCAGAATTAATTTTCTCCCTGGTTATTAGTGCTTTTGATTAAGCTTCTTACGCCACACCCAGGAGAGCAGCTCATGGTCGCGGTGATTAATCAACAGCAGGGTTTGGCACAAAGTCACATACAGGCGCTGATTGCAGTTTAGGCAGTTCGCTTCTAATCGGTCGTCACCCAAGTGCATCTGAAGTTCAAGATTCCTGTGTCCTGTGCCATATAATTCATGCTCCGTTGATGCTCACTTTAAGTCATCATCAAATCAAAACTGACTTGTCTCTCTAGGTTTGCTATCAATACAATGGCCTAAAAGCACAATTTTTCTTCTGGACCTGCGCTAGAAAACAGAGCCCTAGCTCTGTTACCCTTATCTGGACAGACACAATTTGTGGTAACAGCATTGTTGGTGACAATTTTATTCTAGGTTAGATGGATTTCTGAGTGCTTTCACACTTGTGTTTTTTGGAAAGGAGCTACAGAAAGATGAAGTGTGTTTGGGAGCAGGAGGACAGGCCCACAATCTGCCCTCATGCTTGAGAAATGGATTTAACCAGTTCACGCTTGGCGTCAGTCATCTATCTTGACCTCTTTCTCAGCTGTATTCCTTAAACTCTTAAAATAATCAGATTTTGCTTCCTCACTGTCCTCTTTTCCTTCTCGGGAACCATCTACTCTCTATATAGTGAGATACACATAGGCTATTACTCTGATTTCACCCACCATATTTGATAAAAATTGAGATTTGAGGTCAATGAATTTTTGCCTCAACATTTTTTTGGAGCTCTTCTCGCAGAGTGGCTGTTGCCTTTGACTTCTGAGAAAAGTTTGTGTAATTGAGTGGTCATTTATTTCAGTAATGAAGAGAGGTGTTTTATGTGTGTGTGTGTGTGTGCAGATGATCGGGGCACTGAAGCAACTCTGCTACCTGGACGTGTCCAAAAACAATTTGGAGATGGTTGACGAGCAGATATCCGGCTGTGAAAACCTGCAGGATCTGCTGCTGTCCAACAACGCATTGACGCAGCTGCCAGGGTCTATAGGTAAGATCCACATGCTAAAGTGCAGAAATGAACTCAATAATTAGTTTTTGCGGTGTCACAAACGAGTCAAAATCAGTTCAGGATGTGAAGCATGTCCTTTAACAGCCTTAACTCTAATCTGCTTTGTAATAAATGAACAGGTTAGATGTGTAAGTGAATTGGAGGATTATGGGTAGAACAGTAATGCAATCTCATTACCTAATGAATGACCTAGTCGGACAGCTACTAATGAGCGGCATGTTGAAGTGGCCAAGTCACACCGCCCCTGAGGCTCGCTGGGAAGTAATACCTCCCATCTTAACACTTAATGAAATCTGCTTTAGTGCTGGATAGAGGTGCTCGACATAAACAAAAAGACAAGGTCTTGTCTTACAGTGCAAGGGCTTTTAATTAAATGGCACTTTTCAACAATCTGGTACAGACTTAAAGGCTCAAAGAAAAAAAAGGTTAGATTTAACTATTATCTCCCATAGACCAAGTTTAGCATTGGACTTAGCTAGTTTTAAAGGGGCCATTTTCATACAAGTTAATTTCATTCTTTAGGGTCTAAATTAAATGTTTGTAATATACTTTAATTAAAAATTCTCATTAGTATTGTAAGAAAACACAAATTTTACCTGGTCTAAAACAGCTCTGTTTTCAGCACGCCGTTTCAGTGCATATGCCTTTAAATGATAATGAGCTTCAGTCACTCCACCCCTCCGTTCTGTGGGCATTTTGACAAGATGCATGTGGCTTGTTGCCTTGACAACCGTTGATATGGGGTATGTTTTGGAGAAAGAATGGCAGCGGGAGCCTCAATCGTATAAGTTTGAACCGGAGTCGGACCCGGAGCAAGATGGCGGCCGCAAAGAAGTTCGACAATTAAGGCTTGAACAGGACGTTTCTAAATGGTTGGTTAACAATGTCACTTTGATCTATTTTTGTATGTACTGACAGGGTAAAGTAACTTCGTGAGATGTACGAATGCTATGTGTTTACTGATGTAAATGTACTCAGTTTGTAATAACACAATAACCATAATGCGTTGTTTATTATAAACGTGGTATTATGAATTATATTGAGAACGTCGTGTAGAAAACATGCCATAATGTAACTCTACCCTGAGTGTAAACCTTAGCCGCATTCATCATGGAGAGTGCAAGTGATTTGCAAAGATTAATATAAAATATACAATTTCACGCTCACTTCTTCTGGAGGTGCAGCAGGGACATGAATAGTTGGTACAGATGATTTTTTCAGGAGCAGCTTCTTTGCAAAACCAGCTTCATACTGGTCCTCGTTTATAAAGCAGTCTGGTGAGAAATGATTCGCGAATCGCGCAAACATGAAAACATTGACGTTGCTTGTGGGGAATATTCCCATTGAAAACAAAACTCAGCGACTGTGTCTTCAGCGGTTCAGATTTAGGAACATCAAAATGACTGTGTTCGTTATTACACCCAAGAACAGAACACCACAATTGCTTAGACGCCATTCTGCTCCAGCTTATCAACAATGGCGGACTATGATGACAGCTCGCTCAGAGCGGGTCTGTGTTGAAACACTGCTGTCAATCAACAATCATGGGAGGGGCGTCCGACCGTGTGACATCACAAAAACGAGCGGCTATGAGGAGATGAGGAGATTAAAACAGAAACACTGGATAGATTTTTATCATTATATGATAGTTGCACAAATCAAGCTTTTGAACCTGTACTAAGACATCACACATAATAAATATTTTACAATTCTTTGACGGTCAATTTTCTGACAGCTAAATGCCCCCTTTTACTGACCATATTTTGTGAGAAAAGGGTTTCGGACGCTTTTGTACCATATGGAGGAAAGTGCTGAATATTTGAGTGTTCAGTCTGATTAAATTTCTTCTAATAACTGTTTTCTTCAAAATAGGCAAGATTGATGATCTCATTGTCTAAAATGAAGTGGATATGCAATGGCCAATTTCTGTCTAGATGTATAAATTGCCAATTGCAATACAATACAATCTCTCTCTCTCTCTCTCTCTCTCTCTGTCCGTCCCACAGGCTCACTGAAAAGACTAACCACTCTGAAGGTGGATGATAACCAGCTCATGTACCTGCCTGACACTGTAGGCGGGTAAGTGAGCGCCATTTATACACAGCAACCTGATGAACTGCGCTTAAACCATGTCCCAGTTCTCCTTAACACGAGTAAACTCTGAGCTTTGTTTCATGTTTTCTGTGCTGATGGTGGGGGAAATCTGCAGAAAGGGTTTAAATATAGTAAAATATCTCATGGTGGGTTGCACTCTTGCCCGTGTTATATTATAGTCAAGGAAATAATAAAAATGATATTTTGTTTGAAAGTGAGCCTTATAAATGATCAGACCCATAAGCCACTGAATGAAACAGACAGAATGCATTGTAACGGGTCTGTGATTGAAGGAAGTACACATATGGGCTCTCAGAGCGGGATTGCTTTAGTGTGTGTGTGTGTGTGTGTGTGTGAGAAACAGACTGTTATCCATCAAAAAAGGAGCCAAATGTTGTACCTCATTCTCGCCACCTCTTATTTTGAGCTTGTTTCCAAACATGCTGGTTATCCCTTATGTCAGATTAGATTTCCTAGTCCGGGGTTAAGAAAATATGCCAAGAGGGATTATGAGTACGTGATTGCAAGGATTCTCTTTTTAATCCCAGCCTGATTGTAAAGCATACTGATTAAGCACGATTAACTGTCCATTAGTCTCAGCGGTCTTTTCCCATCATACTGATGTAACGTACATTTCCTCTGAACTGGTAGTTTTGTGGACTTTGTTTTATTTGATTTCGTTTTTGAAATGGGGAGGTTTTACAGTATGTTTTTTTTTTTTAGTACTTTTTGTATTTTTTTTAGAATATGAAAGCCTATAATCTCAGAGATAATTTTAGATTCGTGAAGAAACTTCACAAAAATTGCTCTTAAATATGATTTCTAATGGGATTGGTTAATGTAAAGTTATGATCAGTTGTATGTGATTATCAATGTCTCTTCCTCTGCCTCTCACACACTTTTTTTAATGCTGCATTTTGGCATCATTTTTGCCATGCTTACACTTTCAACCAGTTCTTTCAATAATTTCTATTAAGGGGGTCATAAAAATATTTATTTAGTACAGAATTAACTGTACTAACTGTCTCTTGACCACATACAGCTGATTCATTGCCTTCTCTGGGCTACTTCAGGACCAGGATTGAGATCCACTGGTTTAGTCATTCAAACCTTTTAGTTAGTTTCTCCTCAACACTTCTTACAGGGTTGGAGAAACGTTCAACTGTTTGTTTCACAGCGAAAACCCTTTTTGCTGAAATGAAAATGAGCTTCAAAATCCACTTATTCAGCCGTGTTTTCTATGGTTTTGTGATTTATTCAGCACACCTGCATGGTAGTCATGCCAAAAAAATGCAATGTTTGACGTCAGACTTTTAATGAACAAAAAGATTCAAGGTCGTTGATCAGAGAAGTTTGTGAACCATCTGAACAGAGGCCAGTAGAGTCTGATATTCCTTGCTGTATTAAAAGATGACACAATATTTCTTTTTATAGGGAACTGTTGAGCTTGATTATATGTGGGTCTTTTTTCTGTAGACTCACGACCCTGGATGAGCTGGACTGTAGCTTCAATGAGATCGAGGCGCTGCCGTCCTCCATCGGTCAGTGTGTAAATCTGCGTACGTTTGCTGCCGACCACAACCTGCTCGCACAGATGCCTCCAGAGGTCAGTCCAGTCCTGGCATACTTTATTCAAGACAACACGAAATTCCATTTCACTTCCATAATATGATATATTTTTTATAGTGAAATGAAAAATAGTGCAGTATGGGACTTAGTTTTGAATGAACTAATTATTAGTTTTAATATCGATAACTTTACAATTGGTTGCAGTGGCTTTGATTTGTTTTTGTCAGTTAATAATGTCAAATTTTATAAAACATATTGTTCTTCTGCACTGTAAAAAGGGGTCATCAGATGCCCATTTCCCGTAAGTTGGTATGATTATGTAGGGTCTTTATGCAAATATTGTAACATACTTTGGTTAAAATTCCTCAATGGCTGTGTAAACAACACCCTTTTACCTCCTCAAAAACAGTTTAGGGCTCAACTTGCTCCTCGCTATGTGTTTTCTATACAGAGATATCGACATCGGTAAATATCGTATCGGCCATAACAGCAATATTAATATAGTTTATTTTCACATCGGTGCATCACTAAAATATACTAATACGGGACAGTTGCGGTCGTGGGTCCGAGCATGAGAAATATCACATCATATTGCTCAGAAAATCCAAATGGCTTGATTATTGAGAGTGTTTAGGATTTTTTGGGGATTAAAAAAAGGAGTGAATGTTTTTTTTCATTGTTGGGTTAGGGTGGTTGTGTCCACACACTGCAAAGACACGTTTATATGCAAAAACCATGTAAAAGTGAATTTAGCATCCGATGACCCCTATAAAGTACAATCACCCTGGATGTGCAAGTCATTTAAACTTAAATTGCATTAAACTGACTTAAAAATTTGTTAAATCTTGTATAACTTACAAGTTGAAAATTGCTTGACTTATTTTGAAGAGGTAAATCCATGTAAAAATATGTTGTCATACATTATTGATCATAATTTTTTAAAGTGTAAACAGATTCTTATTAATGAATTCAACTAATTCGCCAAGAACTTTGTCAGTGAAAATATGCTGGAATCATAACCATGCAACATTTAACACACTTTTTAATGCAACTAGTGGTAAGAGTAATTTAACTAAACATTTATTTTGCCAATGAAAATCTTTCAAAAGATATTTGTGGAGAAACAACATTTAATGATATTTATTAATGATAGTGAATCGGTTTGTTTGAATGAACCAACCGAACAAACAAACTCTCACTGCTGTTATCAGTTAAGCGAATATGCTGGCTTCCTGTAACTGAGTATTTGAAGAGGTCTCTACCGCATTGATCCTGCATTCTGATCAAAGCGTCCTCTGTGAGCCACGGCAGACATCGCTTGCTTGAGTGACTCAGTTAACCCTTCATGTGTATGCTTGTGCTTCTGACAGATGGGCAGCTTGAAGAACATCACTGTTCTCTTCCTGCACTCCAACAAGCTGGAGTGTCTGCCGGAGGAGATGGGCGACATGCAGAAACTCAAGGTCATCAATCTCAGCGACAACAAGTACGTCACCCAATATGCATCACATCACACAATATGCAAAAAGTCACCTGCTGGTTTCTGCATCATTTAGCTTATATCCAAAATGACTAGCAGTTTTTAAGTTGGCATATTATTACATTTAATAATGTTTTGACCCTGGGATAAGAATTTTTCTTTGTAAGTGATGTCAAACCAAATTGATGGGCAGTTGAGACTCCTCATGTACAAAATCTCTCAATGAGGAACATTTCCAACCTCAGCACGCAGCTGGTGTCTGTGAGAGCCATTGCTTCAACATTTCTCTAAGAGATCTATGTAGACATATTTGGCTGGGATTCAACAGGCTGGAAATTCTTCTCTCTCTGCTATATTTATCAGCCTTGATGCATATTTTACCAGTCGGGCCTTTTTCAATTTACTGTTGTGCCAATGAATGATGTCCCATTTTTTTGTTTCATCAGCATACTAACTTATTTCTTATGCATTGTGCAGTAATCTAGTTTTTGTTTTGTTTTTCTTTCTTCACAGGTTGAGGAACCTTCCGTACAGCTTCACTAAACTCAACCAGATGACCGCAATGTGGCTTTCTGAAAACCAGGTGGGCAAAGCTCAGATATACAAAACAGTCAGCAGAGGGTTGTTTGTTGCAATAATGATCAACTGACCGCTATCGATGCTCACTTTGAGAATTTCTGCCATATTGTGAAACTGTTTCCGTGTGATATTAGATATGAGCTATCGCATCGCTAGAAAAGGGGATCAGGATGTAAACTGAAAATGTTAATGTTAATATTACAAAGCTTGTTTTCAAATCATTTTAACTTTAACACCAGGGGGGTTTTTTTAAGTTGTCAGTCACCGCAAGCGTTTTTGATCATTTTCACAAAAGTTTAATGCCCAGAATATTTTGCTGAATGAATATCTGAACACACAATATATCAATATATAAATAAATAAAAAGAACAGAGCCTCTGATTTTAAACAAACATAAACCCTAGCTTCATGCATTCTTTCTTTATCAACACTTGAATATGGGAACGTTTCATTAAAAAAGCAACATTTGGAGCAAAAAGCTGAGAAAATCGCATTTTTGTAAGACAACATAGTATATTGCCTGGGAAAGGAGTATATTTTAGCTTTCTTGCTCTGTATACATAAATATTTGATTGCATTTGATTATTTCAGAGCCGTTTAATACATTTACATAAATTACTATAATCTCTTTCACAGTCACTTCCCAGAATAGTCTTGAAAAGCTTGTCTTTTAGCAGGGTCTGTGCTGTTGGTGATTCTATGTTCCCGTCGGAGGAGCTCAGAGTGTGTGTGTGGGTGATCTGAGTGATTGTCACAAGTGGCCATCAAGCCTGTGACTAATGGTTATTCAATATAACAATCACCTCCACTCCCACTCATGCCGTCTTCCTACCTCTGAAGTTCAACATAGCACATAGTTTATCTTAATATATGATATAAATTAAAGGAATAGTTCATCCAAAAATTCTAAGTCAATTCTAAGCCTGTATGACTTTCTTTAATGCTCACCAACACTGGGTCAGTTGAATGCCTAAAGAATTGGAAGCTGAGACAGAGATTGTTGTAATAGGAAAGTGAATTATGCTATATGAAGTATTAAAACACTGGTAGCGCATCTTATCAGTGTGGCCCATATGGCATGAGACTGCCAAGATCCTCTGTGAATCAACCTCTCTGCAAGGGTTTCAGCCATACAGCTCAGCTGGAATATCGACAGCTAATGAAGATTGCGCTGGGACGAAGGTGGCACGCTGTTCTTTTATTGATTTTGATGTGGGGTTTTATAAAGCTGCATGTGATTAAAGATGAGCTGAGTTTAAAGCCAGTGCTGCATGGCTTGAATTGTAATGAGAGCAGGCAAGACTCGTGATTTTCCAAGGCATCCAACCGAATTTTACTAACCTTTTGTTTTAATTTTTCTCTTTTTCCAGTCAAAGCCTCTCATTCCCCTGCAGAAAGAGGAGGATCCAGAGACACAAAAGACCGTACTGACTAACTACATGTTCCCTCAACAGACCCGAAGCGAGGACTGTGAGTATCTAGTCATGCATAACCTGCAGCTGTCACCCTCCTGTCACAAGAGTTTTCTTGACTGAATGTATGCCTTGTGTATTGTATATGCATTGTATAAATATTACAGTAAGTGTGTATATGGATTATATAATTATACTTCTAAGTAACTAAAACCCGCAGCTGCACTATTAGTAGAGAGAAGCTGCCAGGTGCAATTGACACACAATCGCTCTCTCTCACACTAATGCATTCATATAAATGTAATCTTTACTGTGCTATTTTATCCATATATGAGTTAAACAGAACAGAAATCGTTGACAAATTTAACGACCCAAAAGAACTGATAAAAATAATATGTTATGTTGGAGCACTGTGTTGTATGCCAAATCTGTGCAGATTTCAGTCTCAGAACAAGATTCGGGCTTGTTTGTTCATCAATGACCTCATCAGGGACTAGTCGACATCCACTCGACTTTCATCACATAAATGTCGACATCACAAAAAAGTCGTTTAACCCCTAAAAAAATAATAATAATTAAAGCTGCAAGCAGCATTTATCGGTGTTCAAGCAGTTCAGGCCTTTAAGCACAAAAGCATCGAAAGGCATTCAATTTTATTTAACATGCATTTATCCACGGACATAATAGATGTAAAACACCATTTACAATCAATACAGTCAATTTAACATTGGAAATGCATGGTTTTAAGACCTTTTTGGCGATTATAGCGCCACCTATGATCCGATCTAAGTCAAACGGTCTAGGAGTTATGAGCAATTTAGTACTTTTGGTTGCTGTAGCGCCACCTATGGGCCAATCGGGGTCATACTCTGATAGCTTCTCCACAATTCGAGGCCCTACCATCTGACAGAGTTTCACAGCTCCAGCCCTTACGGTTTGGGCTGCACGATGCGTTTTAGGGGATTTTTTTTTCTTTCTAGCAAATACAATAGGTTTTCAGCACTTCGTGCTTGAACACCTAATAATTAAAAAAATTATATATGTTTTGCTACCTGAGTTTTGTCGAATGTAAAATTTCTTAAGCATACAGTATAAATAACAGGTATATCTAGTTCTTGTACATGCAACCACAATCATTGGGAAAACCGCTGACTCGACAGTTGTTCAGAAGATGATCCTTAGCTGCTTTTTTCACCGTCGGGCCTGGTACGAAACAGTTCTAGTTTTGTTTCCACTTAATCTTGGTATGGCACAGTACGGCACGATCACAACCCGTTCTCAGCACGGATGACTAACAGTGCTGGGAGTATTCATGACAACGCAACTCAGGATTGGTCACTTGTCTGTTGCCTGGGTACCAGTTTCTCTGTAGCTGGTTAAGCGCTCTATTGAGCGATGTAAACACAAATTAATGATAAAATTAAAATAAATATCTGATCTTCCTCGACATTCTTAAAAGCAGCTGTTGACACCCTCCACAAGGAGTGTAAGCCACAGAAGGTCATCGCTGAAAGGGCTGGCTGTTCACAGAGCACTGTATCGAAGTATATTCATGAAAAGTTGACTGGAAGGAAGAAGTGTGGTAGGAAAAGTTGCACAAGCAACAGGGATGACCACCGCCTTGAGAAGATTGTCAAGCAAAGCCGATTCAAGATCTTGCGAGAGCTTCACAAGGAGTGGACTGAAGCTGAATAGTTTCCACAGTGAGTGATGATTTGGGGTGCCATATCTGCTGGCGTTGGCGTTTATCAAGTCCAAATTCAACGGAGCCAACTATCAGGAGGTTTTAGAGTACTTCATGCTTCCGTCTGCTGATAAGCTTTATGGAAATGCCGGTTTCCTTTTCCAGCAGGATTTAGCACCTGCCCACAGTGCCAAAACTACTACTAAATTGTTTGCTCGCTATGATATTACTGTGCTTGATTGGCCACCCAACTCACCTGGCCTGAACCCTGTAGAGAATCAATGGCAAATTGTCAAGAGAGAGATGAGAAACACCCGACTCAACAGTACAGACGAGCTGAAGGCTGCTATCACAGCAACCTGGGCTTCAGTAACACCTCAGCAGTGCACGCTGATGCATCCGTGCTAAAGTATGGAGTGCATAAATTAACCTTTTTTTTTTTCTTCTCAGGACTTTTTTTCATGAAAAAAAATGGATACTCATTTTCATGAGCTGTTAGCTGTAATCATCTAAACTAAAACAAAAAAAGTTTGAAATATTTTGCATGTAATGAATCTAGAATATATTTGAGTTGGAATTAAATTACGAAAAAATTACTTTTCCATGATATTCACTTTTTTTTTTTTGGTTCTGTACATCCCAAACTTTTGAATCGTATTATTACAATTTAAAATAACTTTCCTTTTTGAATAAATTTTAAAATATATTCCTGTGATCAAAGCTGAATTTTCAGCATCATTTCTCCACTCTTCAGTGTCATACAATCCTTCAGAAATCATTCTAATGACTGGAGGCAAAAAATCTGACTGACTCCAAATGTTTAAACTGTAGTGTGTGTGTACTGTGTGTATATATATATGCATTATAAAACGGTTAGTTCCAATCCTTGATTCTGATTGGTCAATAGCTGTACTTTATTCATGATAAAGCACGGCTATGACCTCTATTTATATTACACATTGGAACATTGTTGCTGTTCACAGTCAGGGACTAGTTTTTTTCTAGCTGAAGGAAGGCTTTTAGTGATTTTTACTTCATGAAAGTTGCACTAATACATATTTTTTTTACTCCGCTTCGTGTCGTCATGGACATCTCAACATGTCATGGACGCCATTTTGTTCATTCGTGAAGTGAATGTTTGTGTGAATAGCGCATAGATTCACTATTTTCGACTGCCGCCTTGAACTTGACAATGCAAGTACAGAATGACATGTACAATGTGCGATACCTGAGATGTCCTAGACCTAGAGGTTGTGTGACTGGTTAACGCTCCGCCAGAGCCCTTGGTGACAAAAGGCCACTGTTATAACCCCTTTTACAAACATTAAGCATTCATTTTAGAGTGTGAGCTATAAAAGGTCTGAATGGACGAGAAGCAAATGCAGGTAGCAGCAGACATTTGAATCTCAGTCAGGTCTGTGAAGTCTTTCATATAGTTTTAGAGACCTGACTGAGCATCAAATGTCTGCTGCTACCTGCAGCCAGAACTTGCTCATGTCACTGTTTTTCCTCTCTGAGACTCTGGATTCCTGGGGAAAGAGATTAATGAGTCTTAACCTGTTTCCTAGCAACTCTACTCTAAACTCCTCAGAGCGCGAACACACTGGCTCTGACTGACGTTCTCCGGGGTCCGCTTCAGTTTGGAAGCGTGATTGAGCTTTAGAAACAGCCTGAAGTCTGAGCGCCTACACGACATAGTGCTCTCCTCAACCCAGATGTCTTGTTAAATGGGCACACAACACAAATGAGAGTTGATGTGTGTGAACCGAGTCCGTGCCGCCCACCAAGCTCAGGCTGTTTCATTCAGAATTTTGCTGTTTGTTAATCCACATAGCAGAGAGACACTGCATTAGTCAATTTTAATGATTTGGTCTTGCTGGATCAGGAATAACTGAACTGTCAGAGACAAACTGAATCAAAACAAACTCAGTACAGGATTTGCTTTGAGATTCTTAAGCTTTCCATCCTGCACTGATGGCATGTTTTGATTTTTTGTTAATGGTTTCTTGGCCTCTCTTTCACAGATGTGCCCAACTCGGACAGCGAGAGCTTTAACCCGTCTCTTTGGGAGGAGCAGCGCAAGCAGCGAGCGCAAGTGGCCTTCGAGTGTGACGAGGACAAGGATGAGCGAGAGACGCCCCCGCGGGTCAGTTCCCAGCGCCTGCTCTGTCCATCTTCTGTTCGCTTTGTGCATGTCTCGCCCTTCTCTCTCGCTTCATGTCACCCATCTAATCCCCTTGTTATTCTGTTGTGTTCTAACCAGGCACACTTAAATCACTTTTCTGCTTTCACAATAAGCTAATCGGAGCATGTTTGATGTTTAATATACAGCTATGTTGAGTGGGATTTTGGACCAGTGTGGGTGGAGCTACCTGGCACATTTTGATAAGGAAAGAAAAAGAAGACAATTGATTCTCAAAATGTACTGTGGCAACCTGCTTGCAGTCAGAACTGAAACTGAAGCCTAAATAGAATAAAATGTACAAAAGCACATACAAAGTACGAAGACTTAAACTATGAACTATTAACAGTTTACGTTTATAAAACATAAATATTTGGTGGAAAACTTCAATGAATATTAGAAATATTACCTTAGCAACTAAAATTAATATTTATTGAAAAACTAAAATAAATGTTTAAAAATAATATTAAAAATGAATAAGTACATAGTAAATTCAAAATATGAATTAAAATAATATAAAATAAATTACTATAAATATAGTAGTATATAAATAATTCTAAAAACTGATTCAGACCATTTTTATTAAATACATTTTTAATTTTATTTTTTTTATTTATTAAAGTGTCTTGCACTTACATGCCCAGCACAAATAGGCTTAAAAGACACTAATGACATAAAACAAACATAATACAAAAACAAGATGACCATCATACAAAGTACATAGGAGGATGACCATCATAAAAGATACTATACCATCATTTTCCCAATATAAACAAACAAAACAAAACAAGACCCCGTCAATTTAGGTCAGGATATAAATTCCTTTCCCTAAGTTTCCACGCCTTTTCTACATATCTAGCCAAACTATAGATTTCATTTTCAAAGAGCCAATTCAACATGTTGAATTCTCTCAAACACACCCATACCCAACGTACCCGAATTCTCTCAAACATGCCCAAACATACAACTGATTTATTGAGGAAAAAAAGTTAATATTATTAATTTAAAAAAATGCGCTAAATAACTAAATTACAAACATTAAAATGAAAAATCTTCTTTATATATACATTTTTGTTATAATGATGTGAGTTGATGTCAGTTGTTTTTTTATAACTACTATTTATTTTCACTACATTGATCTGGCCATAAAATAGCTCTAGATGCTGGAATGGCAATAGCAACAAACAAACAAATCTCTTCTTTTGTGTGCAGCAGAAGGAAGTCAGTCGTGCAGGTTTGAAACGACATGGGAATGAGTAAATGGTGACAGAATTGTCATTTTTGGTCTGATTATTTCTTGATGTTTTGGCAGCTTGAGGTAAAACGGTTTGAGTGGAACAGCCTCACCTGGTTTCGTCAGCATGTCACAGCCTGCGCTTCGCTGCATTGCAGTGGAAACTCATTAAAACTCTAACCCTGACATGACTCCTGTCAGAAAGTGAAATGGAAGTCTTCACTGTCTCAGGGGCCCTAGAGCGTACAACGTCAACCTTATTTTTCCCTTCCACCCCTCATCTCGCTGATATTACACACTCGGTATCTGGTTCCCTCCCTCTCGCGCCCGGTCTTGCACCCCTGATGACTCAATATGCCTGTCTGGCTTATACTCTGTGCCAGGAACACATACAGGCTCCCAAGCTGTCTAACGTAGCTTCACTATCAGCTCTCAGAGCGCCAGTGTGACCCTGAAAGTGTTGTAAAAAGCTCACCAACACCTTCTCCAATTAAATGGAATCAGTGGTTTGGCCACGGGTTCAGCGACACCTGTAAGAACTGACCTGTGTTTTCTCTTACAATGTTGTAAACAAATGTTTAATATAAAGCATCATTATATATAATATGAAATTAAATTATTATATAATAAATCTGATTTTAGACCCCATCTAATCTTTTTTTTTACAGATCCTATGAAGTTCGCTCTGATAGATTCCTCGAGTAACTTAGCTGTGTCTTTGTCTTTACAGGAGGGCAATCTGAAGCGTTACCCAACACCGTACCCAGATGAACTGAAGAACATGGTGAAAACAGCTCAGTCCGTGGCTCACAGACTCAAAGAGGACGAGTCCAGTGACGAGGCAAGAAAAGAGACCAGGGCCAGTGAGAGGAACCATATCGGAGTGCAGGACGTTGGAGTGAAGGTTTGATTTTAAAACGCTACCAGTTGCATGTCCTACTGTGGGAGGGGTCCACGTAATTATTACATTGAAAATTAATCTTGGTGCCGATGTTGGAATAACCCTAAATTCCTTGTGTGTCAGGTGATTGAAAGCCCCTGCACCAATGGCAAAGCTGTTGAAATGGAGCCTAAAACAATGATGAACAGTCATCACAGTTACGAACCAATAGATTCAATAGACTACCACAGCGTTGAAAGGATCCCTCTCAAGACTTCAGACAACACGAGAGCCATGATGAACCATGATGACACCCTTGAGGTATTATATCGAAGTGTCAAAAATTGGAAATGTTATGAATATGGTTATTGAAGCAAATTATTATTCGTTTTTTTAAATCATTGACTCTTTCTTGTGTAGTTTCACACCTCTATGATGGTGAGTGAATCTGTACCAGGCTGTCAAACATTAAAAGTAGCATAAAAGTAGTTCATGTGACTCGTGCACTGAAAAACTGGCCATTCGAAAAGTTGCCATTCGATTTAAGTTAGCATTACAATCAGGTCATTCATATGTGTGTATATGGACTACTTTTATAATACATGTATAGCAGGCTTTTTTTCTTCTTCAAACTATATAAATCTAGTACTAAATCAAGGAGTTAATTATCGTTATTTTGAGAATAGATATTGACCAGGTTGTATATACGATATTTTAATAGAAAGTCTTTAAATCATATTATACAGAAAATATTTTAATGGACATTTTTAAAAAGGTTTCTCCTGGAATAATGTTAGAATTTTTATCATGCACTAAATTAAAAGATGGTGTGTATAGTATTGTTGTTATTGTTATATATGTACGTTTTTGTATATTGCTTATTTTAATACAAAATTTAACTATTGTAAACAATGTATTGAAATGATATTGTAATCATAATAATTTTTAAAAAATTTAAATACTGTTGATTTTGACATGAATATAGCCATTGATGCTAATAAGGCTTTAAATAATAAATGTTTAAATATATGAATATATATAGTTTCCATACATGTTCATTATGTACTGTTAAAACTACTTAAGTCCTTTTGTGGTCCATGGAAGAAACTTACATGGATTTGATATGGCATTAGGATGAGGAAAAGGTGATTCATGACCTTTAAAATTTAAACAAATTGTAGTGATGGTAATATAGTAGATCAGCAAATGTGGCTTGTAAAGATAAAACTGCAAAATCTGTCTTATCACTGTATGCTACATGCACGTTCACACATTAGCCATGCTCATATATCCACGTGTCCTGCTGAGACCTTCACAACTTTCAAGAATCAGCTGAAGACGCACCTCTTCCACAAGCACTTAACTAACCCACACCTTTAAACCAATTCACACACATACACACACACACACACACATTTCTCCTCTTCTCTAGCTTGTTTCTAAATCTGGTTGTCAAATAAACCTGGCAGTGTATACTGCGAATATTGTTGGCTCCTTGACGAATTGCTTTTGTTCCTCTTTTTTAAGTCGCTTTGGATAAAAGCGTCTGTTAAATCCATAAAGATAAATGTAAATTATTCTCTTACTATGAATGGGTGTAAAGTTCTTGTCAGGATACATTTGCTCATTGTATTATGTGAGATTTGTCAATAGATGCTCTATCATAGGGATCATTTAAACAAATGAATATGAAAATGGCGTCCGTTTATCACTGTAGAAGCAGGAAGAAAGTTGGAGTATAAATTTGAATTTAAGCATTTGGTGTGATGTGGTTGTGGTCAGGACTCAGAGGAGCTGTCATCAGAGGAGGAGGAAATGAAGATAGCCGAAATGAGACCTCCACTCATCGAAATCTCCATTAACCAGCCCAAAGTAGTGGCCCTCAGCAAGGACAAAAAAGGTAAAGATATACTTACTCTCGTCACTTTCATTAATATCAATTGATTCTCCCATTAACGTGGGTAATTGTTCCTCAAAATAAGGTGTGTAATTGAACTTACAAATGCATATGATGTTTTTTTTTTATCTGGTGATGTAGATGATGGGAAGGATGCTGACTCTTTGCTGGATGAGACGGTGGCCAACAGTAACCAGAACAACAGCAACTGCTCTTCTCCGTCACGCATGTCTGATTCAGTGTCCTTGACCACAGACAGCAGTCAGGACAACTCCCTCTGCACCCCAGAGAGGGAGTCGAAGATGCCTCTCATCCCCAAGAACAGGTACGAACACACATTGAATACACCCCGAGTCAAAAACATGACAATGAACCTCAGCGTTTAACTAAATATTTCTCAATGGAAAATTACTACAATGTAATGCCCCGGCTTCTCAAGTCACCAGTTTTTTTGTTTTTTTTTTTACATATATGATCTGGTCACAGGTTTACATGAACTTTCCAAACAAAAAGATTCAACCCAAGTTTAAATCTGAGTTGTGTCATTAGTTCTTTTTTATTATTAACTAAAGTTGAAAAGGGGTCGAAACATTGTTTGTCATTAGAAAGATGTATTAAATGAAGGCAGAAATAAAAGTGTTGCATGCATAAACTTGCTTTGTCATTAGTTGAGGACTGTAAAAATGATATTCATTTATAAAAAGCTAGACTAGATCAATGTCAACCAAGTATCTGGGGAAAAGAATCACAATATGTGTTCCTACTTAGAAGGCAGCTGTCCATTTAGGTAGTAGACAGAAAGGCAGCTCACTAGGTTTGGGAACAGAGCTAGAGTCTTTCCCTAACTTGATTTGATTTCCTCAAACGCAGACAAGAGGATGAAAACCTCAACCAGCTGAAGCAGATGACTCCTTTACTCCAGAACTGCAACGGCTCTGAGACGTCCTTACAGACCATCCTGAAGAACCAGCAAAGCTACGAAAGCAAGTCAGACCAGATGGCCGACTACAGTCTCTCCATGGAGGAGAGGCTTGCCCTCATTGAAAAGGGCATCAAAAATGGTGTGACAGAGCAGTACAGCAAGTGGGATCAGATCAACATGAACGTGGCCAAACTCCCACCTGACAACATGGTGTCGTATGAGGACCTGGAAAGAACCAAGAGTCCCTCAGCCAAGGAGTCCATGTCAAGCTACAACAATGCCATGCTGTCACTCGAGAATCTTGAGAACGGCAATCGACTCCAGAAAACCCATTCTGGGGAGAGTTTCAATGGCCGAACGGATCAAATTCCCGCTAATTTGCGCTACGAGTCTACGAGGACCGCCTCGACAGGTGTAACGGCATTAAGTGATATGAGTCTTTCTCGCAGCACAGAGGAGCTGTCACCAGAGAGGAAATGTCCACCGGCCCCAGTGGTGAAATCTCAAAGCATCGCAAACATGGAGGCTGGAGGGATGAAGCTGTTCTCCTTCGAGGGAGAAATCCCCCCGTATGAAGTGGCATGTGCAACCAGAACATCTGTACCTGCCGCTCAAGGCCAGAGCATTGTCCGCTCCAAATCTGCATCCTTACTCAATGATCAAACTTTGCAGATTTACCCTGGATCCTCGGCGTCGTCCTCCGACTTGCTGTTGAGCTCCAAACCTCCGGTTAGCAGCGCCCGCTACCCAACGGGCCCCCCGCCCCAGTATAACGTCCAGTATGCCAGCAGCACAGTCCCCAAAGACAACCTGTGGAGCCAACGTACCCCCGTCCCCCCGGAACAGACCTACTTACCGCCACAGCACTCCCTTGCCAACACCAACTACTCAAACCGCAACAACGCCCCTCCTTACCCCCAGCCCCAACAGCGCGGCCCGCCCAAGACCCCGGACATGTGGGCCAAGGAAAGGATGCTGCCCTCTGTTGGCCAGCGAGGGACCTTGCAGAGGCAAGGCAGTGGATCCTCTGGCACCTCCATGTGCATGTCGGACCCACGTCGCATGCCAGGATTGGAAGGAGAGTACATGACGTATCGGGACATTCACACGGTGGGCCGTGGGCCCCTGCAGATGAGCCAGGCTCTCCACAGACCCTTGTCAGCCCGCACCTACAGCATCGACGGACCCAACGCTCCCCGGCCACAGAGCGCCCGGCCCCCACCGCACGAGCTTCCAGAGAGGACCATGTCCGTCAGCGACTTCAACTACCAGCATGGCAGCCCCAGTAAGAGGCCCAGCATGAGGGTGAAGTCCGAGCACTCGCTACTGGACGGGCCGGTTGGAGGTGGTGGCAGGGTCCCAGCCGACTGGAGGGATCAGGTCATGAGACACATCGAGGCCAAGAAGATGGAGAAGGTATGCTTGATACGAAAACTAATAGTGTATACAAAGGCAAGCATAGCTGTTGCTAATACTTAGAATTAACGGTTTGTTCAAAGCCAAAAGCTTCATCCATTACCAGTTATATTCCAGACATGAATGATACTTCAGATTGCACGTCTTGTTGAAGTGTGCTGCTACTTTTGTAATCGATTGGACTTGAAGGTTCTGTCTTGTGCAATTCCAGTCCCAGAGGACCACTGTCCTGCAGAGTTTAACTCTAACCCTAATCAAACATACCTGAACCAACTAATCAAGGTGTTTAGGTTTGCTAGAAAATAGCTAGTAGGTTGGAGCAGGGATTGCTAGCCCATTGTGTAGGCAATAACATAGCTATGTGCATCTGAAATTGCATAGGGTACCACATTTGATATGGAATGAACTTCACTGTCCTTCATAAATCCATAAACCCAGTGGCCTCATGAAATAGTAAAGTGTCACTTAGTAACACTATGAATTAATTCAAATTTATTTGTATAGCGCTTTTCACAATACACATTGTTTCAAAGCAGCTTTACAGAAAGTGCATTTCAGAAATGTACATAAAAAAACAGTTAGTTAACTTAATCATGTATTAATCTGAAGTCTCCGTTAGAGGCTGGATACAAGCTGGAGCTAACGAACGCTATTTACCTCAGGACTAACGTCCTGGGATAACTGCAGAAAAGTATGGGAAATAATTAGCAAAGCTGCTGTTTATAATATGACTGCATTCAATCTGATTCAACAGTGGTATAAAAGGTAAGCATTATGTGAATGCTTGGCTAAAGAGGTGCGTCTTTTAACTGGGACAGCGAGTCTGAGCCTCGAACAAAATCAGGAAGGCTATTCCAGAGTTTAGGAGCTAAATGTGAGAACGTCCTCCCTACTTTAGTGGACTTAGATATCCTAGGAATGACCAGAAGCCTCGAATTTACTGATCTTAAAGAATATAATGGATTGTAGGGCAATAGAATGTCCATTAAATACACACTTTAAGGCTTTATAGGTCAGATACGGAACTTAATAGGTAACCAGTGTAGAGATGAAAAAATTGGTGTTATATGATCATATTTTCTTGACCTAGAATTCTAGCAGCTGCATTTTGCACTAATTGTAGCTTGTTTGTTGAGGATGCAGGACAACCAGCTAATAAAGCATTACAGTAACCTAGTCTCGAGGTCATGAATGCCTGAACTATCTTTCTGTATCAGAAATGGATAGCATGTTACGTAGCTTAGCAATGTATATGTTTAAGGTGGAATGTATATTTTTAAGGTGGAAAAAGGTTGTTCTTGTAACATATGAAATATATTTTTTTGAAAGACAAGTTGCGGTCTAGTATAACACCCAGGTCTTTTACTGTAGTGGATAAAGTAACGGAAATCAATCTGTTTTTTCACCTAATTAGTTGCAAGTATTCATACTTAGACACATCGTTAGACCACCTTAGCAATCATATAGCAACACCCTGGCAGCATAGAAGCAAGTTTTGCAGGGCACGCTCAGTCTAGTTTCTGAACCTCAAGTCTGAATTTCCACGCTGCATCATTATTCAGCATTAACTGCGTGCATGTGCTATTTATATACATATGCTATATGTTTATTTTCTCTCATAAAAATGCTCATTACCCAGTATTTCTCTGCATGTTTGTGTATGGACATTAACACATTAACCAACTCTAACCCATGCATGTTTCAAAGTGTACTCATGGTCAATGCATGCTCACTGAAGTCCTCATTAATTGCATGTGTGTTTGTGTGCATGTGTCATGTCATCAGAGCTCTCTATCTCGGTCTTTGGCCACTCTCATTGGCAGTCAGAGCTCTCTGGCCTGTAGCGCTGTAGACCGGTGGCAGATCGGAGCTCATGGGCCCAGCGTAAGTACCGCCTCACTGTAACCTTACCCAAGGGGTCATTCTCTCCGCTTGCTGTGTGACTTTTGTTCCCAACAAATTTAGAGGCATTTATCACCTTGCAGTTTCTGTAAACACTTAACCTGAATGTTTCCCAACCACCTTGCTGAAGCATATGAAAACAAACAAACACAGCTTTAAATTATCACCTTGTTAGTTGAGACAGGAAGACCTGAAATAAATGGGTCAGATAAGGGAGGCGTCTAGGAATAGGGTTTGGAAAGTCAGTTAAAAGGTTAAATTACCCAAAAATTGAGATTCTGTAATCATCATGTTGTTCCAAACCTGTATGACTAACTTTCTTCCATGAGTTACAAAAGAAGATTGCCCAATCTGCTCTTTTCCACACAATTCTGCGCATTTCTGGGGGGAAAAGCTGGCTTTTGAGTAGCCAACAAACGTCTCTAAGCCGCAAGCATTGATGAGAATGCCCCTTATGGAGCTTAAGACCCCCACCCCAAGTTCACCTTTCTCAGCTTATATCCAGCGTCGACTGGTTTGCACAATATGCTCAGTTTCTTTGGGTTGTCTAAGTAATACGAGATTAAGAACATTCCTAACCACTAAACCATATACACTAAAGTCCTGGAAACAAACACTCTTTATTTCTCTGTGTGCTTAAAAGCACAATCTGACCTCAAGAAAGCTCTGTTGTTTTGATCAGTTTAGCTGAAAGCCCCATAAAGTCGGTTTTAAAGAGCCCCTATCATAGGATTTGAAATGTTCCTATTTTTGTTTTGGGAGTTCCCAAAAACAGTTTAACGTGCATGCAAGGATTAAAACACTTTATTTGTCTTATAATATGCATTTATTTTTACCCGATTTGCTCAACGACTCCCAAATGATTCGTTCAACGATTCATTTTCCCAAACACCTCCTTTGAGTGACGTGAATCTGCAGCGATTGGTCAAATGACCCAGTCAGTTGTTATTGGTAAACCGTAGGCAGAGACTGTCGGCAACGGAACGCCCATAACCAGGATTATAGCTTGTCAAATGTTGAAAATTGTATATAGTGTTGTGTATATATACACTTTCCGCACTGTCGCTTACTCGCGTCTACGTCAAGAGCAAGCTTTCCCGGCGAAACTCACATTGCGGGGGCTTTTGAGGGGCAGTGCTTATTATATAGAGCGAAGTCATATTTGGCTAAGTCGTTTAGGAGGTAATTGCCATTTTTCAATGAATGTCTGGTGAATATCAAAAACAAAACTAACTTTACCCCGATTAGAAGCTGCGCGGAGTGTACACAACACAATATAACTATATTGTGCATGCTACAGAAAACATAACAGCAAACATTATTAATAATACTTACAGATAGTGATTCAGAGGAGGACGAACCTGATCCATATACACTGGATACTGAGCCCTGGATACTGTGACGCATAACAAGAGCTTAAGCAACACAGGCTTATGAATCAAATTTACTGGGAATTCCACATTCATGGGAAATGGCTGCAGTTCCCAGTCACTAGTGACATCCAGCCTAGTTCTTATTTAGCTGTATGTTTTAATACTATAGTCATTCACTGTAGTTAAAATTACTCAAAATACATCCCATGATGGTTAAACAAGCATCGTCAAATACAGTAAACCTTTTCTCGTTGCAAAGTTTGAGACATTTTGTGCTGTTTCTCTGTAGGACGATGTCTTCAGTCCTCATGGACAACCGGGCTACCATATCGACACTCTAAGAAAAGTAAGTGCTTTACACAATAAATTAATGACACAAAAAGTATTTGGACACTTGAATTGTATAAATGTTGCTTGCTTTATCAAATGCGATAACGTTCAGATATTTTGCTCTATGCGCTCATGAAGAACAATATGCAGTGATGTTCAGGAATATCATTTAAACTTCTCCTTATGACTGAATCCTATACGTCCTCATCTGTGGTTGTGTGTAATGTGCTAATGAACTGCATTGAGATATGGACCCAGTGGGCACGCCTGACTCCAGCAGTGATTAATTAGCTCTAATTAACAAGCACTGCTTTAAAGAAGCCTGACATGTTCGAAAGCTGATCTTTCTAGCTGTGGATGTTCTCACTAATGACTGCAATAAACACATGGAAGGATAAAATTATTATTAAAAATGATCTGAAGTTGAGATTTATATGTATGTAAAAGATGCGTGATTTAGTTGTAGAATTTCTGACCACCTGGAAAATATTTAGACCATTTAATTTGTTTTGTTTGTGCTTGGTGATTGACTTTTGGACATTGTGTGAAAGTGTCCTTGAAAACAAAGATGCAATTCGTTTTATTGTGATAGTCTTGGTCTCTCGGGAAATAAACCATTTAGTGAGGTGAATTGATTCGAATTAAAGGTCTAAAAGTGTGACGCTTCATCAGTCTACATGGATTTCTTGTTCTTCTAACCAGATTCATGGTTCATTGAAATGATTTCTGGGAACTTTCTGCCACCTGGTGTCTGGGAAATGCATCACATCATATAAGTAGGCATTTAGACAAACACTTAGCCCCCTAACTGTATTCACTTTATAGCCCTTAATCCTGTAATTGTGGACAAATGTGGGCACAGAGGACTCGGGTGTGATCCTAATTTTTATTTATTATAAATGTTATATCACTGTCTTCGATAGGTTTTTTTTTTTTTTTTTTTACTTCAAATAGTACCATATTTTCTATGTAAATTATGCGTTTTAAATGACAGTTTTTCCCATTCATTTCTATGGGTGCCCATTTTTGACCTAAAACAAGATTAAGGAGGTTTTTTTCACCCACTTAACATTGTAGAATTGAGTAAAAAAAAATGTGTGTGTTCCGGAGGCAAACTTAGCCAAGTCTTGTACCGCTCAGATCAAAGGAAGTATTTTTTTAAAAATTAATCAAAACTTAAAATTTTGCCCACATTTGTCCAGAATATGGTTTTAGGGTTAAAGGGCCATCCTTTGTTTTTTGTTTTTCTATAGAAAACGCCTAATAATTTCCTTAACTCGATTTTCAAGGGGGTTTTTTTGTTGTTTGTTTTTTATAAAAAAAGTTATCACTGAATAGAGTTAGTGTGTTTTCACTGATTTCTGTCTAGTCAATGAAATTTCAAAAGAATTGTTAAGGTGGCCTGTTCCTCATCACAGAAATCTCAACATAGAAGATCATAAATCTTCTGTATCTCTGAAAGTAGCTTCTGTCTGGTCCTGTCCAGCCCCCAAAACCTGAGAGTTAAAAGCAAAGATCACTGCACTGACTTGTTTTAGCCTTGAGGAGAGAGATTGCCATTAGTTGACAGTGTGTAGTGATTTAACTGGCAGAAATACTATGTGCACCTTTTAATGGTTTGGTGTGTCCATTTGTCTCTCAGGTGCCTTTGATGAATGGCCAAATGTGTGCTCCTGTGAGACCTCCCATGAGCTGCGGTCAACCCCCGATGGCACGCCACCCCTCACGAGAGCAGCTCATCGACTACCTGATGCTCAAGGTGTCCCAGCAGCCCCCGGGTGCTCCACGGGTCCCACAAGAGACCCTGCAGCAGGAGGTGGGACCAGTCTCACAGAAATATCAATATGTGCCCTGCATTTGAAATGTTGACACAGCTATAGACCATCTGCCTAACACCGTGTCTCCACTGGACGCAGCAGTCGTGGCACCAGTGTAGACAGCATCACCGATTATAATGGGTTTATAGGCTCTGCTTACACCTGGTATTAAGATTAGTTTTGCTCGATTGGATCACAAGAGAGACATTCCCGTCAACTTCTGTCCTGATTTCTTCAAGGGGAGGGTCTGTGGGGTAAATGTAAGGGCTTTTTCAGATCTTTTAATTTAATGGACGAAATAAGCTTGTGCAATTTACACATGAACGCGACCAGAGACGACAGAAAAAACATGGAGAAGCAGCAGCTTTAGTGTCTGCTCTGACAGCTCAAGAACAGCCGGACACTGTGAGTGTGTGTTAGAAATCAGGAATACGTTTTTCATCTTCAAATCAAACTTGTGTCTCCAGCCAACGAAGTTTAACTCCCATCTGGCTAGAGCGCTTCCCATAATATTTATGCATTAGGTCAGCATGCGAAGAGTAAACGGTCTTTAGTGGCTCTTCAGACACATTCGACCCATTGGATGCCTACACTATGAAAGCAATCCGGTCGAATGCATTTCTAAAGTGCACAAACTCTACGTTTTAGACCCTTGTATTACAAGTGTATATTACACTTGTATTTAGCGTCGTCCACTTAGTCCACCAAAACACATCTTAATACCAGGTATAAACGGGCACTATTTGCTTTTGTCGCGTCCCGTCTCTCGCGTCTGGTGTAGACAGAGTGCCAATAGAAAATCAAAATGAACCGTCTATGCTTTTATAAACATTCTTGGTTTTATGGTCTATCATTAAAATTTAAAATGCTGATGTCACCTACACTGTGTGGGATATTGGATAATGCTAGCTAATAGCCAGACTGATATTTAGGCATCAGTGTGATGTGAACTCAAGCGTTGTGGTTTGTCTTGCGTTCTCAGCTCCATGTGAAGATCGAGAAGAACCCTGAGCTGGGTTTCAGTATATCAGGAGGAGTGGGTGGCCGCGGGAATCCCTTCCACCCAGACGACTACGTCAGTATTTCTCTTTCTCTTGCCTTTTCTTTAGAAATAGGTGTGCACATCCATTTCTGGAGCTTTGATTTCAATGTATGATTCCAATGAATTATGAACTCTTAAATCATAAATGACCAACAGGGGATCTTCGTGACGAGGGTTCAGTCGGAGGGACCGGCTTCAAAACTCCTTCAACCGGGGGACAAGATCATCCAGGTAATTTCTACTACCTACTTTTCACATATTTTGTCTTATCCATACCTTAGTAATTCACTAACGTCAATTAACATCCACTTTGCAGGCAAACGGATACAGCTTTGTTAACATCGATCACGGACACGCCGTTTCCCTCCTGAAGACGTTCCCCAGCACCGTCGACTTGATCATCGTTCGAGAGATGGCCGCATAACTGACGAAACTGAATGTGCACTGTCTTATTTTTGTACCGAGAGGAGCCAGTGCTGTAGGTAGTTAATCTGAGCTGATGTAAACGGGACAAGCTTTGACCATCGGTGGATAGGGGCGAAACCACTGCATCAGGTGGAAGAGTCTGGGAGCATGCGCCTTCACTGTGGGAAAGCCTGTTGGTGCAGTCCAACTGATATGAAACCCTGTGCTTTTTGTAAAGATAGTTTTTGTTTTTCTTTTTATAAGACATCACCTGGATTGAGTTCTTATGGGACATGAGCTGACCGCTTGAGGGCAGGGCTCTCGATCAAATCTCACTCGTTTGTTTTTTATCATTTTAAAGATTTTAAAACCACTTTTATGACCTGTGTGAGATTAAGTTGGAAGACAATGCTACGTGCTAACTGTGGTAATGAATGTAGAACTGGGCTGAGCTAAACTGAACTGGATGTGAAATCTGTTGGCCTCGTGGTCAGATTACCCGTGTGAAGAAAACTTGCTTCATCCACCTCAATGCTAGAAACTCTTCTCAGCTTTCTCCTTCTGGAAGTCTCCTCCAGTGAAACAAGAGTTTCTTCCTGCAAACTTCCACCGGACAGAAGTGGAAGCCCGGATGCCGCCTGGAAGGATGTGTTGAAATGCTCCCTGCACGTGAAACATGGACAGGAACGCGATGAAGTACTTCCATAAGGATTTCGAAAGAGAGCAGCCTTGCTAATAGACAGAAACAGAAAGTGGTTTAAGTACCTTAACCAAAGCATATTGGGACTCTGTGGCTGGGCGGCATGAAACTGCTGGCACGTGAACTTCTTTCCTCTGACTTCTACAACACAGCCACCCGATTCCAATGCCACCGAAGTCATCCGAAGCATTCGCGCTCAAACATTTATTTTTTTCCTTAGTTCAATTTGGAGTTCGTCAAAAACGTTTTTTATTCTGTGAAGAAGATTGTAGATGTGATATTTTATTCTCTTACGAAAACATTCTAACGTTTGACTAGTTGCAGTCGTGGACGTTTGCTATGGGGGGCTTCGAGAAAACGACATGTCAAGTGCCATAGACCCTGAACTGTCACAAAATGCGTTCGACCCAGAGCAATACTCGTACAGATCCACGCCGCATATTCAGTGGCCTTATTAGGCTGGCGTATGGCACAGTGGGCGTAAGAGCAATAGAAAGTCGTTTATTCCATTCGCAAGATGCAGTCAGTTGCGTTTTTATATAAATAAAGAACCCATTTAGTATTCCTCGATTGATACCGCGTTTTATATTGTAAATCTTTTAAAAACGAATACATAGGAAATGGCGTTTCAGATTTTTTTGTAAAAAATCGAATAAAAAATGTTCGTAAAGTCTGAACAGTGTGCGAATGGATGTCTCGTCACATTAGCGATTGCACTGCTGTTTCCAAACACCCCATGAAGATTATCATTGCATTGTATGTGGATACATCAAAATCTTCAATAGCAAAGAGATTCGAAAAGCTACGTTAATCGTAATGTTTGTATTTGTAGTTGCATTGAAAGGCCATGATTTTTTTTTTTGCCCTGCCTGCATCGGAGGAGAACGACCCACTGTCGATTGTAGTACTGCGTGAATTATTTGCATGAAATTCCTCATTTTGATCGTTCTTCGCTGTATTCTTCAGTAGACTGGAGCGCTAATTGAATCCAAGTAATCAAATTAACATACTGATAATGTGACAAATCCACAATTTGATGTGAAAGAGCACGTTGCCCTTTTTACAGAAACTCGATTGATTCGCTATAATAGCGATAATTTTAATTTAGCATGTTAAGCTTTGGGTCAAAATTGCCTATGGATTGTAAATTAATTTGCTACATTTGATTACTTTTTTGGAGTAAAAAATTATTAATCGTACAGTTTAAAGAACATCGTTAGTCGATAAAACTGCGCCCCTCATCTTTGCTGTGAATGTTTCACTCGACACATTGTTTTGTGGACACTGTTACTTCTGTTTTGTCACGAATCAGCCTAGCGTAGATCACTCGACTGTCACTTTTTTTTATTTTGTCTGCGAAGACATTGTAAAAACGTAATAACGAACAGTGACTAAGAAAAAACTGTTGTTCTTTTTACTGTCCCACTTTTAATTTTATTTATTTAGTCCACTTTACTTTGACTTTAGAGATTACTAATCAACATGTAAATACTTTTTTAAAAGGTTTATGATTTGTTCTTGGCATTAGTGATTACGTTTTTTAAAACCAGCAATAACTTGCATCACAGAAGCAGCCCTTTTAATGTATAGCTACGTCAAAGGTTTCTCCGCAAGCAGCTACTGTTAAGATGATTGGTATGCATTTATTCAACATTCCAGATTTTGTAAATAAATTTACTTTCCATGGTGTCCTGTGGAAAGAATAAATCAACTAATGCTCTTTCAAGGTGTATGTTTGTTGTCTTTTTTTTTGTTCTGTTATGCTGTTGACCAGGCACGTGCGGGGGGGGGGGGGGGGGGGGGTTGTATTTAAAGGCACTTTTGTGGATGCCTGCCCCATCTAACTAGTAGTAAAATGAATGAATAATAATTTAGCCCTAAATAAAATGACCCACATGATGACCTTTCACCTGATTCCTCACGCTGCACGCGCATTTTATAATTTCGCGCGGCTACGCGCAATCGCACATTCCCAGAGGATATCTTCAAGTCTTGCGGCTGCTGGTAAGTGGTGTTCTATTCTCAGCGAAGTGATTTTGATGTTTGTTTACTTATTATTATTATTTTACTAGAACGACGTGAAGAGAGCATGCAGAGATATGTTGTTTGTATTGCTGTGTGTAGGCTGTAGAAGTAACGTTAGCTTGCTGTTTGAGGGAGAAAAGTTTCACGGGCGTGGAGGGGTGTTATTTGACTAAAAACTATTTTTTTTATTTTAAACTATTATTATTATTATTACAGTATTTATTAAAAAAATATTTTCACATAAAAATGATTATCACAACTCTGGTAAGTTATCACATAGTCTTACCAGTTAGTATCTTATGTTTTGTGTGCAGAAGCCTCTGTGAACATCTGCCCTAGTAACGTTACTATTATATACTATTATTGTATTATATACTTTAGCAGCCTGGGTAGAATCTGTAGCTTTAGCAGGTCAGTGAACTAGTGAGCCAGTTCCAAACACTGTCAGCAATCTTTACATCTTGACATGGTCACATAAAAATGGTTTATTCAGCTAATACCCTATATTTCTGTTTATTTTAATGTCTACAGTCTCAGATCAACTCCAGCAGTATCAGCAGCAGCAGTAACAACATCAACAGCAAAGGCAGCAAACTCACTTAAGGACTTAAGTAAGAATTTACCAGAACAGGCATCACATTAATGTTAAAAATCTTGTAAAGTATTAATTGCTGTTTCTGTTTGCTTTGTTTTTTATTTTCATTGTATAAAATGTAACTCTTGTATTTTTGTAAATCAGTTTTTGCCATGAAAATAGCCACAGATGCTGATATGCCATTAAATAAAACTATACTGTACTTCACGAAACATGGGCCACGTTGATTTTGTCCTACACAGTTCACTATAACAGCTGTTCTTTATTATTCTGTATAACAGAGAAGAAAAAGCCATCAGGTTGGAACAACTTAAGATGCTTCAGTTTCTAATCCCAGAGTTATATATAGAGCACATCAATTATTTTTTTTAATTTTAAACTTTAAATTTGTCTTTTCTGTTCTGGTTCTTTTTCAAAACTGCATCATGCATTTGCTGCTGTATCGATGCAGAATCATCTGTATTGATATATTACTGTATTGATATTTTGAGCACAGCCCTATAAAGCCTTGTTTCCATGTGCCCCATTTTATACTTTGAGCACCTGCCCCTACAGAGGTCTCTGCACGGCCCTGCTGTTGACTTATGCTTTAAGACAAACCATGCGTAAGTTCATATTAAAAACACCACATAGACATAAACAACATTAAAAACCTTTTTCACCTCAGGGGGATTTAAAATTATTGTGTGTGTTTTGCAGAATTTAGAAAGTCAAAAATGATTGGAAGGTGACAGAATTTTTTTTTCAGAAAGATGATCTCATTGAATCCGGTCATTTTGGGCCAAAGTATGAATGCATTATCGGGTGTGATGTTTACCTCACCACTATATTATTCATTAACAATAAAATGGCATGTTTTACAATATTTAAGTCCATAATCTCATTCTTTAATCAAAGATGATAGGTGTTAACAAAGACTGTAAATGAGACCTATCTTTGTTAACACCTATCATCTTTGATGTGAAGTAAAATTAGAAGACTAAAGTAATATTGATCATATTACTTTAGTCTTATAATTATCAGGTATTATCAGCTTTTATCAGGTATAACTCAGTACATTGTTTACTGAAAATGCATCAACGATGCTGCACTTCAAGAAAATGCAATCGCCGTCAAACGTAAGGATATAATCAATCCTTCACCACCTTTATTAGCTTCATTCCTTTTCTTTGAAATCACTCAAAGAAGCGACGCCGTTCTTCCACGTGGAGTGCGAGTTGGTCTCGTATCATATTCCAGCTCTATATAACCCGGGGCAAAATACGAGAGTGCTTTCACAACAGACCCAGGGTTGAAGACATCCAGTTTCATTGTTTTCCTGTTGACAAAATTTCAAGCCAACTGGTTCTCATCTTATCATTATTTTAGTATACAATGTACTGTATACATTAAGGTTTACATATAGGTTTTATATACATTTCTACACATTTTCACATACATAAAGCTTGTTTTTTAAGAAGAAAAGTTTTTGAACGTGTCTATAGGAAACTCACTATGTTTTGAGGCAGCCGGTATTTGTGTGTCCCAGTATCTTCATCTTGCGTCTGCTTGGCCATGATGGAGACGTGTTGTGATTGGATCAACGTGTCCTCCAGAGCGAGCTCGGCTCTGGCTGTTCTGCGGGTCAGCAGATCACAGTGCGCTGACATCTGATACAAGCTTGTGTAAAAATAACCTTCTCCAATGGACCACATAAAGCCTCTGCTTAAAATGTGTTAAAAATGTTTTGGATCTCGATAGTCCGACCTTTTGATACGCCCTTAACTTTTGAACACATTTTACTAAAAACATAATGTTGCATCCAGTGCCAAGTAGCCTAATATGAATGACAGTGATGACTAATATATGCAAACTGGCGTTTGGGTTAAAATTGTGGCAAAATGTATTACCTGTACTATCACAGTAACGTTACTCCATTTTTGAAATCATTTGAAAAACAGTGTTTGTCTCAAACCATCAAACCCCCACAAACTGTAAGGAACAACAAACACCAGTATTTGACAATGATGACAGGGCAGTGCAACCCCTGGCCACTGCACTGGAGCTATTGCTTCAGAGCAGAAGGTTGTTTTTGTACAGTAAACTTGTTGTGACTGGCGCATTTGGCCCCGCCCCATGGAGGTGTCAGTCACAGTGACGTCACTCACACTATTAAAGAAAACCAACAAACAGCAGCCAGAAAAACACACATAACGTTACACCGAAACACACACGTCAGCGGACTAGCGGCACAGACCAACGCGAAGGGTTTAATATATAGTCTCTTTATTCCGGGAGCTTCTCGTTTTACTCATATAAGGCAAGTAAAACACTTTCCCCCCCACATTACAACATTTTAAAAGCTCATGCTAACGCTACAGGAAAATATGATTCGTTTTGGTGAAATAACCAGCTAATAAGCCTAATGTCTTAGTTATTCGTTTGTGCAATGTCATTTAATGTGCTAGCGGTTAGTCTAAAATGATTAACTTGGCGAGTTTAACCAAATATTGCTGTTAGCTGATGATAGCATGTTAGCTAGGAAAATTAGCCTGTTGTTCCTTTCGACCTAAAAGCTGAAATATGATACGAAAACAGCAGATTTATGCTTAAACACGCGTGTTTTATTCATAACGCGTTGTTTGCTTCGCGTTTAAACTGTTTTTGGCCTTCAAGATACCAGAGATTAAAAATTACATCGTTTGCATGTATTTCTCTTCAAATGTTTATTGTCGTGCAGTTAATTGGCTGTTTGTGTAGTATTATCATTAATCGACTATTTTACTGTCTATTATAGTGTTTTCGGTTTTATTTGGTGTCGTTTTGCTTGTCGATCGAGATGTTATACAGGAAACTTAAAGCCCAGCTAGTTAGTGTTATCTTTATCGCTAAGTGAATGAATAAACGTCTTGGAAAATAATTTCCCAGCCGTTTGTTAATCAATATTTTGACTGATTTTATGTGAATTGGTCGTTCTGGTTGTGAATTGTTGTTTTGTATTATTATAGAGGTTTATGGTTTGGCTCAAACAGGAAGAGTGTTTGAAACAAAGGAGAACACAAAGCAAATTCACCGTGACCCAGAGATAAAGTAGATAAACGGCTACATTATCATCCATCTTCACTCATTCATCAACACAAACCCCTCAGACTGAACACAGCACACATTTTGAGGGCAGCAGCTGTTGTGTTGAGTGTTTTTTGCGCTTTATGTGCCTCTGTGTGTGTGTGTTAGCCGTGATGCTAGTGTTAGCATGACTCAGTGGATTTCACGAGGCCTCAAACTCTGATATATCTCTCTATATAATATATAAAAGTACGCATACTATATGACTATATGACTAGTGTAAAGTACACTATTAGACTTGGTATAAGCTGTACGTGTCATTTAAATGCTTCGTATCTTGGTGCATTGAGACACGTGAGCATCTGTTTTTTGCTGTCTTTCTCCATTCATGGTGTCTTTAGCTTCATGGTTATGCTTTTGTTCAACTATTTGACTTGGTTTATCTTTCAAGTCTTTGTTTTGCTCTGTATGCTGTGTATTTGCTGTCATCCAGACAGGGATAGCTGAACATGGGAATCGGCTGAAGAAAAAACATCCCCAAGGCTTTGCCATTTTTGGCTTTATCAGAATATATGAGGCCATGTGTAGGGAGGAGGGTGCTATGCAAACCAGCTCCTAATAGAGATGTGTGTGTGACGTAATGGAGGCAGGTAGGACAATGGGGGGGGGGGGTATATTTAGTCGGGACACACTGGTGGAGGCTGTTCAGGACATGTCACATTGCACCCTTGTGACGGATGAAAACTAATCCAGCGGTCCATGTGAGCGAGTGCGAAGGGCAGCAGACTCACTCACACACACACGTGATGCGGGCCATGTGGTGGGTTTTCAGGGGAAAACCTCTGACGCCAGAACGTGGAGGTGAAATGCTGCAATCTTGTTTACTTCAGACAAGAGGCCCTCTGAAACCACGGGGCCCATCGCAGACATGCCACTCCTAACAGATTTCAGGTTGATTGTTTGAAAGCATCTGTGCTACATGTTTCCGCTTGGATGGGGATTGGGTTTGCTGCTGTGATCGGCCTCTGCTTGAACAGAATGTTCCAGCTGTTCCACCTACAGATATATTTACATCTCACACAATGTTCAGCATTTACCCATCAACGCACGCACTTCATCTAAGCTAGTATGGTGCTCACGAGACCGACATCGCATTAGTTGATGCCGGGGCAGCTGGTATTGAGGATTATTTGATACAGCTGCAACTATTTGAAAAGTTTACTATTAATATAAATGGATTGGTGTGTGCAATGTGACACTGGACCGGAGGTCGGAGATATGATAAATCTTAAAAAGAAGTTTCATGATATCTTTATCATGATATTATTTTGTCTGTTTTTAAAAAAAAAAATAAGAAAACATGCAAATAACAAACAATAGGACAAATACAATGAATCGGTGATGCACATCTCAAGCAGCGCATTAAAAACACACAGTACATCACATTAAGTTTTTTATGTACTGTAAGTTTTATTTGTACGTTGCTTATGTTGCAACATCACATCAACTTGTCAGTAACTTCTGTGCAGCACTAAGATGCTTATTTACATAATTTATGTAAGTGGTATGGCAAAATATCTTTTGATTAATACTTTAATAAAGGATTTTGAAGGCCGATACAAATATTTGTTGGTTATAAAATCCGATATTCCGATATATCGGCTGATGGATAACATCATATTGCAAATTGTATAACATACGTTTTCAATATAACAGGCCAAGGAGAGATGATGCGTCTCATTGCTATAACTGTCATGAAATATTCATTTATCGGCCATTATAACTGCCGATACCGATAGTTTGGAAAATGCCTAATGTCGTCCGATAATATCGGCCTGACCTGCCGATAAATCGGTCTGGTTCTACTTTGTATTGTCACCATGATATATTATCAGATCGCCCAGCCATTATCAATATTAACAGTTAAGGTCATGCTCTATGGGGGAGTGTTTCATTTTTTTTTTTTTTTTTTTTTTTTAGCGCTTTTTTGAATTTTATTTTTTTATTCATAACACCACAGAATTGTTTAAAATGTACTTTTAAAAATAGATGTGAATCTGGTTTGGACTAATTGTGTTCAAAATGACGGTGAATCGTTCCAGAAACAGACTCTGATCCACTTCAAATGCTTTAGAGTGTGAAAGCACCCTCGAATTATGAAGTTGGTGCGCGACGTGATCATAAAGGAGTTATGCAAATTCTGTTTAAAGTGTTGCAGTGCGTCACACTCACACAATGTTTTTGTATGTTATGGTGTCATGTTGCGTGAACCAAGATCTAAAATAAATATGAATGAATGGAATCACAACAGTGGGCATATGAAATAGTTGTTGTAAACGCTAACAGTCAGTAATGAATAAGAAAGAAACAGAATCAGTAGAACAAAAACAAAAGTGAAGTTTTTTTTTTCATTTTAGCAGTATCAATTGAGAAATTCAGAAAACGTCTTACCAATAAAGCAACAAAAATGACACTCAAACAACCTAGGACAGTGGTTCTCAAACAGGGCCCAGATCAGTCTGAATGACTCGAGTCTCGAACATAATTCAAATGTTTTAATAACTCAAAATAAAGATGCACCACTTTAAATTGGCCATGATTCATAAAATGGCTGTACGATTTGATCCTAAATACTATGGGGTCTGTCCTATGCCAATATTGAGGATCTAGTCAGGATGTTTCTATGCGGATGACAAACATTTTGGTACTCGCTTACCAGTAATTCAGTTAACTCTGCATAAAATCAAAATGTAAAGATAATAGAAAATGTAAAGATTAATGGGCAGTCACACTATGCATTAATATAATTAAATGAGCAGCTGACTGATGTTTAAAGGGTCAGTTGTACAATGGCACAAGTGTTCGCGTTTCTACCGTGATGCATTCAGAGCTGGAGTTTGACTACCAACATTGAATATATGATTACAATATTTAATATGTAACATGCATGCATGAGAGCAGTTTATGAGATTAACACTCGCTATGTGATCAGTTCATATTTGGACCCAAGCAAGCGCGTTTCAAATTTAAGGACGTATTTCATATACTGTTTTAGTGCTCGAAACATGAACCAGCACTGCCAATGCACACATCTCAGGACTTCAAATGAAATATATATATATATGTGAAAATGCAGACACTGATAACAGCCGTGCTTCTGAAGGCGATGACAAATTATTCTGATACCAACAAGACAGTGATGTAGACCGAAAATTCAAAGAAGAATGGACAAAAAAAGTAACTATGCCTTTATTCCTTCTGTGTTAAACTGATGTGTCATTTGTTCAGTGATGGTGCACGTAAACAAAATGAAAATATTATTAGTCATTTTAAATTTTCCTTATTTTTCATATAGACCAGTTTCTCTTGAAAGTTGAGTGTTGATATTTTTATGAATAAGAAACCGTATGATCTGTTCATGATAGTTGTTAGTGTGAGTTTGTTTTTATATTTCTAAATGCATCAAGGTCCGCCCAACTCTGTTGTTTGCTAGTTTTTTTCTCCGCTTGCTTTTAAATGAATGTGTCTGTGTGTATTATGAGTGTGTTGTTGGTCTGTGTTTTATTGGCTGTATCCTCTCCCACTTTTCCACAGCTTTACATGCCCCATTTCTTGTCCTTTTTAAATCTAAGGTATGAACGATTTGTGATAAAACAAGGGGGTTTCATGACACACTTTAGTAATTGCATCACAGAAATAATTTGTATTAATGATTTCCTAAAGAAAAAGCCTGGCCATGCCTGTCCGGCACACGTTTTCTGAGAGCGCTCCTGTATTTCTTGCCCATTGATGAGGAGTACTGTATATCTTCTCAACCATTGTGGCTGTAGATTTTTTTTTTTTTTTTTTAATTGTAGATTTTTGCTTGAGCTTAAAAGGATAGTTCACCCAATAATACATTATTTTAATAATTACTCACCCTCACGTTGTTCCAAACCTGCAAGACTTTCTTTGGAAAACACAAATTACGATATTTTTCTTTTTTTGATGAAATCTGATAGCTTTCTGTCCCTCCACTAACAGCTACACATCTACTGCTCTGATGATCCTAAAACTTTATAAAGGGATCATAAACTAACCTATAAGAATTGTGGTTTATTCCACATTTTCTGAAGAGACTCGATCGCTTTATATGACGAACAGATTTAATTTAGGCTTTAATTTACATTCATCATATTCTCGAGTTACGCAACACGTTTGAGCTTTAGAAGTTTGTTCTCTCGTGTTATGTTCGCTGATCAATGTTTATATGTAAATAAAAGCTAAATTCGATCTGTTCGTCATAAATCGAGTCTCCTCAGAAAATTGACTAAACCACTCAATTCAGATGGATTAGTTGATGATCTCTAAGAACTTATTTCAGAAGTACATATCAGCTTAGATTGGAGATCCTTTAAATATTGTCTTGGACAAAGGGAGGATTGGTGTAAAAAAAAGTGTGTTTACGTCAGAAAATAAACTCGTTTACAGCTTGTTAGCTGAACTTTTGGTGCTATGATTGTGTTTTTGCTTATCTGTGCACTGAAGTATTTTCATAGCAGAAGGTTAATCTCCGAACTGACAGTCTTGTCCTCTTCTGATGTAACAACACCTTTTAGTTTAATGAAGCATTTTATTGGTTGGAATGGTTAAGTGTTTGGACTTCCAGGAAGTCTTACAGGTCAGTCTGGTTGTAAGATGATCTTTGGCATGAGTTTGCAGAAATCACTTTGCTTTCGTATGCTTGAATCAGGTGATTTTGTGCAAAGATTAGAATCATGCCAAACGATGCAACAACAAAAAATGCTCCGACGCCTAATCTGATTCCCAGTCTGTGGCAGCATTGCACCTTTATCGGAGTAAATCCTCTTAATGACGCCAGCCGCAGTCTTTGATTCACTCCTCGGTCCTCGCACAAACATGCTGTCATTCATGGTCCTTGTGTTTTGTTGTCTGCAGGAATCGCCCACCTTAAGAGAGATGGCCCAGGAGACCAATCAAAGCCCCGTGCCCATGCTCTGTGCCACCGGCTGCGGTTTCTATGGCAACCCTCGGACCAGTGGCATGTGCTCGGTCTGTTACAAAGAGCATCTAACAAGACAAAACAACGGGGGAGTCAGTCCGATTAGCACAATGGGTACGTGTTTCCACCCTTTGAACGTCTTCACAGACAATGGGACGTGTTCGTAAGATCGATTGTTCCTCAAGTGTGTCATTAACACTAAAGGATGTGGTCTCTTCCTGCAGCTTCCAGCAGTGTCACCAGTAGTCCTACCGCTGAAGCCTCGGCCATCCAGATCATTGAAGCGACTCTAAACCACTCCTCTGCTGCTAGCGCCGAGTCGCCCAACAGCGCCGCCACCGCTGCCCTCCCGGTCACACAACAGATGACGGAGATGAGCATTTCCTGTGAAGACGACGTGGGCTCGCCGAAAGCAGAAGTTCCTGAACCAGGTTGATATTTCAGTTTTTTGGGGGTTTTTTTTAGACTGAACAATGTTTGAGGGACTCTAAAGATGCGTTTAGAGCACTTTAAACAGTTTATAAAAGTCTTGAACACTGGATAGGTTCAAAATAACAGCTAAATAAAGAAGCTAAGAAACATAAATGCTTCTGGTTCAGTTATAACAAGGCGCAAACAGATTCAATATGCAGGTTTTGTAACGGGTTGAGATTGGCCAACAGAAAGCTGCTTGGTTTGGAAGTAAAGTCTGTGTACGCTGTGCTTCATACAGCACTACACTATTGGCAACGGACCTTTAATGTTTGCAACGTTTCTCTAATGTGACCGGCCGCACTTTAAAACTATTGTGCTATTTTGAACAGTGCGTCATTTAAGCAATTTTTTTTTCTCATTTGCAAACCCTACTCTGCAGCCAATTCTGAAGATTTCATCCGAATCACAGGCCTGACTGCTTGCACTATGCTGAAACCAATGCTAACCCTGAACTACACCTTGAGGGATAGTTCACCCAAAAATGTACATTTACTCATTATTGTTCCAAACCTGTATGAGTTTCTTACCTCTGTTGAACACAAAAGATGATATTCTGAAGATGATGGCTGACCAAATGGTTGGATATCACCTTTTGTGTTCAACAGAGAAAGGGAGCCATTAAATAATGCAATTGGTTTGTTTTGACTTCAAATAAGAGAATGACAAACAGTAATATTGTGAAATATTATGACAATATAAAATGACTGTGTTCTATTTTAATATATTTAATGTCATTTGAAAGCTGAATTTTCAACATCATTACTGTTGCTGATTACACATCAGTTTTCAGTGTCACGTGATCCTTCAGAAATCATTATAATATGCTGATTTTATGCTCAAAAAAACATAAATTATTATTTTCAATGTTGAAAACAGTCGTGTACCATTTCCCCCCAAAATTCTATTATGAATAGAATTATTTAAAATATAATCTTTTCTAACATTATAATGTCTTTACTGTAACTTTTGATCAATTTAACTCATCCTTGATGAATAAAAGTATTTTATAATTACTTTCCCCCAAAAATAAAAAATAAATTCTTACTGACCCCAAACTTTTGAATGGTAGTGATTAATGTTACAAAAGCTTTCCATTTCAGATCAATTCTGTTCTTTTGAACTTTCTATTCATCAAAGAATCCTGAAATAACAATGGAAAAAACTGTTTTCAACATGGATGATAATCATAAATGTTTCTTGAGCATCATATTATAATAATTTCTATAAATATTTATATTAGATATATAATATTTATATATCTAATATATAAATATTTCTATTAATATTACTGTTTTTTTGGTATTTTATCAAATAATTGCAGCCTTGGTGAGCAGAAGAGACTTCTTTTAAAAAAATAAAAAAATCTTACCGATCTAAAACTTTTGACTGGTAGTGTATATATCCATTAATAGCCATGCAGATGTGTAAAATGCTTTCTTTGATTGTAATCTCAGTTGTATTGCTAAAAGAGGTTCTTGCAGTCAAAATGATTTTCATTTTCAAAGAGCTGGTTTAGCTAAAGTCAAAAATGTCTAGGTTTGAAAGCCACAAGATTTAAAATTGGTACAAAGTTACAGAAAATGCCTGCGTACTGAAGATGGAAAGATGTGTTCTGTAGGCATGTAGTTGTTTTTCTTGGGATGATAATTCGTGTGCATGTGTTTGCAGTCGTCACTCAGCCCACTGCGTCCGCCGCACCCCCGAGCTCAGCCGACGGGGACGAGGCCAAGGCTCCCGAAGCCCCCAAACACAAGAAGAACAGATGCTTCATGTGCCGCAAGAAGGTCGGCCTGACAGGTGAGCGTAACCTCCGAGTGTTCCCGCACACATACATGCTCCCTCCACGCATTCTCACGCTGACGTCTCGTTTGCAAGGGTTCGACTGCCGCTGTGGGAACCTGTTCTGTGGACTTCATCGCTACTCGGACAAGCACAACTGCCCCTACGACTACAAGGCAGAGGCTGCCGCCAAGATCCGCAAGGAGAACCCTGTCGTGGTTGCCGATAAGATTCAGAGAATATAAACCCCCGCCCGCCGTCTTCACCTCGACTCTGCGAGAGATCGGATTAAAGGACTCGCACTTTGACCTGTGATCCTAAAGACTAGTTTTTTTTTTAATTACAGTATGGGAAAGAATCTTGTTTCTAAGCCAATGCATGAGTGATCTTTGTTTCATCTTTCTTTTGCTTTCTGTTGGTATATGAGCTTCAAGTTAAAACAAATGAGAGGAAAAAGAACAAAAAAAGGCATGAAGCCGGAGACGTGTCCTGCATCTGATTGTGGTGTTAAAGGCTGACTGTCCGTGGTTTCCTCTGATGGCGTGTCCTGGACTCTTTGAGGACTGTTACGGCTCTGGCCCGAGCGCCGTCAGGGCAACAGTGCATGGCTGGCTCATGTAGCAAATGGACGCTCTTCAGTTTCCTCCAGGTCGAACGTTTCGCCGTCCCGTTAAGAGTCAGCCTTTTCCACATTTATCAACCACGTTTCCGCTTGAGCATCAGCCGACCACAGTTATTGAGCTATTGGAGTGATGCTGGTTTTCTCTTTCATGTTCAAAGGATATTTTTGTTTTTTCTTTTTAATTATTGACAGACTTTGTGAAAAATATATAATCCAGTTGCGATGGTTTCATGCAGCCAGACCAGAATACTTCATGATCAATTTTGAGCGCCCACCGTACCAGTGTCCATTATGGATGTGGTGAGACATGGCTACTAACGCACACCTATGTTGGTTCTCCCACATGACCCTTTTAAGTGACATTTATTTTCGTGTTTTCTTTATTTGATTTGTAATGTGACACGAGTTTCTGAAAACGTGGTTCCTGGGCTTGTTCAGAGGGTTGAATTTTAAGTGGGTCTTTTGCATGGTTAGTGAAATACTGCATACTAGAAGTCCATTTCTTTTTTTCCTCTAATTCGCCTTTCTTGTGTGTGAGTGATCTATTCAGTGGGTATTGAGTGTTAAATTCAGGTAAGAAATTAATGGTATTGTTTAGTGTCATTTAATCAGCTTTTTTGAGTGTTGTGAGTCAGTGTGAGTATGTGACTAGTCTACTCGGTGAACGCCATCTTCAGTCTCAGGCTCAGTCCGTGTCCTGTTTTTGGGTCTGGCTGCACAGCACTGTTTTATTTTAGAGCTTTGTCAGTTTACACAGTACAACTAACCTTCTGTTCTGATTTTGATTTTAGTTATGCAAGTTTGTACAAACCATCTTTATTTATTATATGTATTGCGCATATAATCTTGTTATCCGACATTACTGCGAAATTGTATCATGTAAATAAAATTATGTACAGAGATATCATTAAAATGTGTCCTGACATGTTTTGTACGGTACTGGGTTAATAAGCTGTTCATAAGATGTGTGCAAAATAACGCCTATTGCCCAATCAAAAGCCAAGATATAATAAGCACAAAATAAGATGTAGCTTTACAGTAACTTATGCTTTACCCATTTATGCTTTTTTCCATATGGTGATGTGATTCTCCTTGTCCAGCATTAATGGCTGCAATGTACTTGCACGTCAGCAACTACAATGTGGTCTCCCCGGTGGACCAGCACGACAATCGTCTGGATTGATCCACGGGGAGGAGTCGGATCACGATCCAAGGGGTGGAGATGGGTAGGATTAGGGTTTGGTGCAACAATGGAAGCTCTAGACCCTTCCAGAGCTGAGATATCGAAACTCAAAATTTCGACCTGAAAAAAAAACGACAGTGGTACCCCTTTCGTTTTTTTTTTTTTTCGGGTGAAAAATGAAGTTTCTCCAATCTTCTCAAAACTCTGGATTCTGATAGAGGGCCATGAGACTTAAACCTGAGTGCAAAAATGGAGGCTCTAGACCCTTCCAGAGCTGAGATATCGAAAATTAACATTTCGACCAGAAAAAAAAACAACAGTGTTACCCCTTACGTTTTTTTTTTTTGGGCGAAAAATTAAGTATCCCCAATCTTCTCAAAACTCTGGATTCTGATAGAGGGCCATGAGACTTAGACCTGAGTGCAAAAATGGAGGCTCTAGACCCTTCCAGAGCTGAGATATCGAAACTCAAAATTTCGACCAGAAAAAAAAACGACAGTGGTACCCCTTACGTTTTTTTTTTTTTTTTGGCGAAAAATTAAGTATCCCCAATCTTCTCAAAACTCTGGATTCTGATAGAGGGCCATGAGACTTAGACCTGAGTGCAACAATGGAGGCTCTAGACCCTTCCAGAGCTGAGATATCGAAACTCAAAATTTCGACCCGAAAAAAAAAACGACAGTGGTACCCCTTCCGTTTTTTTTTTTTTTTGGGCGAAAAATTAAGTTTCCCAATCTTCTCAAAACTCTGGATTCTGATAAGGGCCATGAGACTTAGACCTGAGTGCAAACAATGGAGGCTCTAGACCCTTCCAGAGCTGAGATATCGAAAATCAAAATTTCGACCCGAAAAAAAAACGACAGTGTTACCCCTTACGTTTTTTTTTTTTTTGGCCGAAAAATTAAGTATCCCCAATCTTCTCAAACTCTGGATTCTGATAGAGGGCCATGAGACTTAGACCTGAGTGCAAAAATGGAGGCTCTAGACCCTTCCAGAGCTGAGATATCGAAACTCAAAATTTCGACCCAAAAAAAAAACGACAGTGGTACCCCTTACGTTTTTTTTTTTTTGGGCGAAAAATTAAGTTTCTCCAATCTTCTCAAAACTCTGGATTCTGATAGAGGGCCATGAGACTTAGACCTGAGTGCAACAATGGAGGCTCTAGACCCTTCCAGAGCTGAGATATCGAAACTAAAAATTTCGACCCGAAAAAAAACGACAGTGTTACCCCTTACGTTTTTTTTTTTTGGGCGAAAAATTAAGTATCCCAATCTTCTCAAAACTCTGGATTCTGATAGAGGGCCATGAGACTTAGACCTGAGTGCAAAAATGGAGGCTCTAGACCCTTCCAGAGCTGAGATATCGAAACTCAAAATTTCGACCAGAAAAAAAAACGACAGTGTTACCCCTTACGTTTTTTTTTGGGGGGCGAAAAATTAAGTTTCCCAATCTTCTCAAAACTCTGGATTCTGATAGAGGGCCATGAGACTTAGACCTGAGTGCAAAAATGGAGGCTCTAGACCCTTCCAGAGCTGAGATATCGAAACTCAAAATTTCGACCCGAAAAAAAAAACGACAGTGTTACCCCTTACGTTTTTTTTTTTTGGGGCGAAAAATTAAGTTTCCCAATCTTCTCAAAACTCTGGATTCTGATAGAGGGCCATGAGACTTAGACCTGAGTGCAAAAATGGAGGCTCTAGACCCTTCCAGAGCTGAGATATCGAAACTCAAAATTTCGACCAGAAAAAAAAACGACAGTGTTACCCCTTACGTTTTTTTTTTTTTGGGCGAAAAATTAAGTTTCCCCAATCTTCTCAAAACTCTGGATTCTGATAGAGGGCCATGAGACTTAGACCTGAGTGCAAAAATGGAGGCTCTAGACCCTTCCAGAGCTGAGATATCGAAACTCAAAATTTCGACCGAAAAAAAAAACGACAGTGGTACCCCTTACGTTTTTTTTTTTTTTTTTCGGGCGAAAAATTAAGTTTCTCCAATCTTCTCAAAACTCTGGATTCTGATAGAGGGCCATGAGACTTAGACCTGAGTGCAAAAATGGAGGCTCTAGACCCTTCCAGAGCTGAGATATCGAAACTCAAAATTTCGACCCGAAAAAAAAACGACAGTGTTACCCCTTACGTTTTTTTTTTGGGCGAAAAATTAAGTTTCCCCAATCTTCTCAAAACTCTGGATTCTGATAGAGGGCCATGAGACTTAGACCTGAGTGCAAAAATGGAGGCTCTAGACCCTTCCAGAGCTGAGATATCGAAACTCAAAATTTCGACCCGAAAAAAAAAACGACAGTGGTACCCCTTACGTTTTTTTTTTTTTTGGGCGAAAAATTAAGTTTCCCAATCTTCTCAAAACTCTGGATTCTGATAGAGGGCCATGAGACTTAGACCTGAGTGCAAAAATGGAGGCTCTAGACCCTTCCAGAGCTGAGATATCGAAACTCAAAATTTCGACCCGAAAAAAAAAACGACAGTGGTACCCCTTACGTTTTTTTTTTTTTGGGCGAAAAATTAAGTTTCCCCAATCTTCTCAAAACTCTGGATTCTGATAGAGGGCCATGAGACTTAGACCTGAGTGCAAAAATGGAGGCTCTAGACCCTTCCAGAGCTGAGATATCGAAACTCAAAAATTCGACCCGAAAAAAAACGACAGTGGTACCCCTTACGTTTTTTTTTTTTTTGGCGAAAAATTAAGTTTCCCAATCTTCCCAAAACTCTGGATTCTGATAGAGGGCCATGAGACTTAGACCTGAGTGCAAAAATGGAGGCTCTAGCCCCTTCCAGAGCTGAGATATCGAAACTCAAAAATTCGGCCCGAAAAAAAAACGACAGTGGTACCCCTTACGTTTTTTTTTTTTGGGCGAAAAATTAAGTTTCTCCAATCTTCCCAAATTCTGATAGAGGGCCATGAGACTTAGACCTGAGTGCAAAAATGGAGGCTCTAGCCCCTTCCAGAGCTGAGATATCGAAACTCAAAAATTCGGCCCGAAAAAAAAAACGACAGTGGTACCCCTTACGTTTTTTTTTTGGGGCGAAAAATTAAGTTTCTCCAATCTTCCCAAAACTCTGGATTCTGATAGAGGGCCATGAGACTTAGACCTGAGTGCAAAAATGGAGGCTCTAGCCCCTTCCAGAGCTGAGATATCGAAACTCAAAAATTCGGCCCGAAAAAAAAACGACAGTGGTACCCCTTACGTTTTTTTTTGGGGGCGAAAAATTAAGTTTCTCCAATCTTCCCAAATTCTGATAGAGGGCCATGAGACTTAGACCTGAGTGCAAAAATGGAGGCTCTAGCCCCTTCCAGAGCTGAGATATCGAAACTCAAAAATTCGGCCCGAAAAAAAAACGACAGTGGTACCCCTTACGTTTTTTTTTGGGCGAAAAATTAAGTTTCTCCAATCTTCCCAAATTCTGGTAGAGGGCCATGAGACTTAGACCTGAGTGCAAAAATGGAGGCTCTAGCCCCTTCCAGAGCTGAGATATCGAAACTCAAAAATTCGGCCCGAAAAAAAAAAACGACAGTGGTACCCCTTACGTTTTTTTTTTGGGCGAAAAATTAAGTTTCTCCAATCTTCCCAAATTCTGATAGAGGGCCATGAGACTTAGACCTGAGTGCAAAAATGGAGGCTCTAGCCCCTTCCAGAGCTGAGATATCGAAACTCAAAAATTCGGCCCGAAAAAAAAAACGACAGTGGTACCCCTTACGTTTTTTTTTTTTGGGCGAAAAATTAAGTTTCTCCAATCTTCCCAAATTCTGATAGAGGGCCATGAGACTTAGACCTGAGTGCAAAAATGGAGGCTCTAGCCCCTTCCAGAGCTGAGATATCGAAACTCAAAAATTCGGCCCGAAAAAAAAACGACAGTGGTACCCCTTACGTTTTTTTTTTTTGGGCGAAAAATTAAGTTTCTCCAATCTTCCAAACTCTGGATTCTGATAGAGGGCCATGAGACTTAGACCTGAGTGCAAAAATGGAGGCTCTAGCCCCTTCCAGAGCTGAGATATCGAAACTCAAAAATTCGGCCCGAAAAAAAAAACGACAGTGGTACCCCTTACGTTTTTTTTTTTGGGCGAAAATTAAGTTTCTCCAATCTTCCCAAATTCTGATAGAGGGCCATGAGACTTAGACCTGAGTGCAAAAATGGAGGCTCTAGCCCCTTCCAGAGCTGAGATATCGAAACTCAAAAATTCGGCCCGAAAAAAAAACGACAGTGGTACCCCTTACGTTTTTTTTTTTTGGGCGAAAAATTAAGTTTCTCCAATCTTCCCAAAACTCTGGATTCTGATAGAGGGCCATGAGACTTAGACCTGAGTGCAAAAATGGAGGCTCTAGCCCCTTCCAGAGCTGAGATATCGAAACTCAAAAATTCGGCCCGAAAAAAAACGACAGTGGTACCCCTTACGTTTTTTTTTTTTGGCGAAAAATTAAGTTTCTCCAATCTTCCCAAATTCTGATAGAGGGCCATGAGACTTAGACCTGAGTGCAAAAATGGAGGCTCTAGCCCCTTCCAGAGCTGAGATATCGAAACTCAAAAATTCGGCCCGAAAAAAAAACGACAGTGGTACCCCTTACGTTTTTTTTTTTGGGCGAAAAATTAAGTTTCTCCAATCTTCCCAAATTCTGATAGAGGGCCATGAGACTTAGACCTGAGTGCAAAAATGGAGGCTCTAGCCCCTTCCAGAGCTGAGATATCGAAACTCAAAAATTCGGCCCGAAAAAAA